TTTCCACCCCAACCGCCCAGTCTATCAAAAAGCCTCCAGCATCCTTTCACAAAGAGAACTCCTTCATTCTCGTCCAAATACACAGCACAATTCCTTCCCAAGGCGTCGCTTGTTGCATCCCTATCAAGGTCACAAAATTCGACCCTGCGGCCCTGTCGCGCACGTTCAGAAGCCTTGGTTCCAACAACACTCGTGAAACATCCTCCTACTACTAAGACGACTAATACTACGCAGCCCCAACGAACCGCCATCCCAGTCTCCAGACATGACCAGACAGAGTCAGAGCGGCATTCATTCATCCATCCAATCCAACTCAATCCATCCGCCCAGCTAGATCCTCCACGGCGCCAAACCCCCCCCGCCCCAATACACATCCCGCCTCGACGAAACAAAACGAAACAAAACGAAACGAAACGAACCGAACCGAACCGGGAAAACCCACCTCAAGACCCAAAACATCGTCACGCAACGGCCCGCCAAGTCGTACGTACGGACATTCTGTCCGGAAGCTCGAAGCCACTGGTCAGTTCTCGCCATGTGGGAGTGTGCTCACTTACTCACTCACTTACTCACTCACTTACCCCACATACATCCACAACGCCATGCTAAGCCATGCTAAGCTAGCCTAGGCGATTCCGCACATGACGGCTCTACCCACGAGCGGAGTTCGAATCATGACCTTTTCCCCCTCCGCGCCCAGCAGCCCACGATGCGACCGACGCAGACATTTCCCTGCCCTGCCCTGCCCTCTCGACGCCGCCTCCCGTAGCATTTCCGGGGGTCGGGGTGGTGGAGCACAGCTGCACTGTTTGTTTCCATCACGACGGGCGGGGGGGCCCGGATGGGGGTCTCCGGGAGGGAAGGACGGGGGTGGGGAGGTGTGTCGTCTGAGGTGCGAGATCCGGATCGAATGAATGGGGATGGACTGGCAAATGTCGTGTGCTCGATGCTCCGCTGATGGGATATAGTAATTGGAAAGGGTTGAGAGCTAGCCGCACGCATGTGATCGTACAGTCCACTACACTAGCTGAATCTGCGATGCATATCCAAAAGCTGCTGCTGCTTCAGAGTACCTTTTCCCCCCAACGCCGCGACAGTTCTGATGCAATAGAACCTTCACCTCTTCGTCCTCTTTCCCCCAAAATGAGCATCCAACGTCCCCTGTCCCTTTCTCTTTCTCTTTCCAGGACTCTTTTCCTCTTGATCACCGCCTTTCGTCTCCCCACCAACCTCCGCTGCCTCGCCCTCATCCTGATCAACGCCCATATCGCCACTCGCCTCCTCGCCCCTCTTCGGCCTTGTCTTCTTCCCCGTCTCCTCACCATTGATCGCATCCTTTGCGCTCTTCCCCTCCGTTGGGCCCTCGGCCGAGTCAGGAAAGAGCTCGCGCCATGTCCCATCTTTGACTTTGGGGTTATCGCCGTAGAGGTTAGTGTGGTATGCGCTTTTCATTGCATCTAAGCAGATAGACCGGCGAGCGTTAAAATCAAACATAGGTTTCGGATAAACCTTCATCCCTCCGTCTTCCGTCTCCTGGCCGTCACCCTTGATCAAACAACCCGCTTTTTTCTGATCCGCTATAGGCGCTTTCCATGGCTCATAGATGAATTTCTCCGGATAATCCTTGAGCTCCGGGCAAAAGTGCCGTACGAAGTCGCCCTTAGCATCCGTCTTCTTAGGAAACGCGATGGGCGAATAGCAGCGATAGAATTGCGAATAAAAAGCTGTACACGAGAGCCATTGCCAATTACCGCTGTTGCAGGAGACTTCGTGATCGATGAGCCATTCTTCAAAGACTTCGGCGCCACGCTCCCAGTCAATGTAGCAGCCACCACGGGTCAGGAAGCAAGCTACAGCATGACGGCCGAGATGGTGTATCCAACCTTCTTGCCTGAGTTGACGCATCAGAGCGTCGATCCAGGGAAAGCCTGTCTTGCCCCACTTCCAGCGATCGAACCACGTCTCGGCTTCGGGACTGTCGATATGGTGGTCGCCGGTTACGAGGCCATTGGACGGATCGACTTTGGAAGGGAGATGCCAGGGTATGAATCTGCAATGGCTGTTGCCATGTGTTTGAGCCAAGGAATAGCCGAGAGCCGCTTGAGCTCTACGCAGATTTCGTAGTCAGCAAAGCCTATTCGAGGTAGAGATTGGAGTTGCAAGACAGGTATCGAGAGTAGAAGGATCCTTTTGCACCCGAGACATGTCTTGTGACTCAATCTCACTACCGATTGGAAAGAGCCAGCTCCCAAATGTACGTACCCGAAATACATGTCTCTGAAGAGCAGTTGCCCGATTAAGTTCGTAGGGATGGTGCTTTGCTTGCCTTTATACTCCTTGAGTACATCCATTACGCGCCAGTAGAAGAGCCGTACGCTGAGAGAGCCAAAGTGGTGATGTGGAGAAAGCAGGGTTGTTGACTGGGGGTCGAACGCTGTGGGTGCTGTTGCGGGTTTGGCAAACGTTGCTGTGTAGGTTTTGTTGGAGATTATCTCGTCTAGGGCGCGTAAGGCAAGGGTCTCACCACCCCGATGCTGGGTTGTTGCAGGTTTGAGACCAAGTTCGGAAAGGGTAGGGACCCCGAAATCGCCTTCAGGTCCGGCAAGATGGGTGTAGGAACTTTCCTTGTCATTGCGCTGGATGTCGTTGAAGTCGGGCTTCGGGGAGGGCGGGGTATGCTCGAAATCAAGGGATACGTTGCCGGGGTCGGGAAGAGACTCTGGGGTTGGGACTGGTTTTGCGACTTCGTCCAGCTTCTCTGCTGCCTGAACAGTATCAGCACGGTACTTCTCGCGCAGATTCAAGGACGCCCCCCGTACATGCTGCACCTGAGTGATACTCATAGTCGGCTTTCCTCCATTCGCCTTCACCAACTCGTCCGGATCATATAGCGTCCTGCCCATCTTGACAATGACCTCCACTCCTGCCTCTTCCGCTTGCTTGATAACATCTTCGTCTCTTTGTCGGGCATATGCATCGGTATCTTTCTCGAAGACCAGATGCGAGATCTTCCACGCCTTGAACAGCTTCGCTAGCACCGTCTGCGGTGCTTCCCGGAGGACGAAAAGCTTCGACTTGGGATTGAGCTTGGTGATGGAGGCAGAGAGGTCGGATTGGCAGTCGAGTCTAGAGAAGAGTGCACCTAGGATCAATGAAAAGAAACAGCCATTGGAATTGAAGAAAGGGTACCTACAGATACTGCCATCTATTCGGCCCTACCCTCGCACGGTATACATAATGCGGATCCCAGCACCATATAGGATACAAACATTCAGGCTTCAGGTCAAGGGCAGCTTTCAGAGCTGGGGAATCATGTAATCGAAGATCGGTCCGGAACCAGTAGAGGACCCTTGGCTTAGCTGGCACCATGCTGAAGGGCCGGTACGAAGGATGGAGTTGAGGTTGAACTTGAGGTTGAAGTTGAAGTTGAAGTTGAGGTGTTTGCGCGATGCGCTAAAGCTGAATGATTGGAAGCCATACCTTCCTTTAAAGTAAGGTACTTACTTTACTATCCAAATGTCGCCCGCGTTCCTGAAAATCAATAACATCATTACATCATCATCGATCAAGCTCGCATTAGCGTCTCACTATTCCTAAGTGAATCTAGGCAGCTTCGCTTAGGTATTCAACTTCTTCACCTTCACTTGCCTTGTTCCACCGGACATCGTGGCACGATTGTTACCATCCACTGTGGAGCTTCTTACTATGCGGAGTGAAGATACAAGCGTCCGTCCAGCAAATCTTTATGGATTAACCGCTTCATTCACGTCCTGGCAGAGGCAAATTACCGCGCAAGGCTCTCTATGAAACTTCGAAAAGCTCTACTCTAGATCTACTGGAGAAGGCTCTCAAAGCTTGGAGTGAACCCCTCTCCTGGTAAAACTACTTGATCTGGACTGACTATAGGCCGTTCATATTTCTGCGCAAGTCTCTTATGGTTTCTCTTTATCTAAGTATCAGTAAGAGAATGTAGCAAAAGTCATGCATGGCGGAAACCTCCAAATCTCCAAATCCCAAGAGGAGAACGCTCTCTTTCCTTTTATTTACGCATTTTGTGGGTATGGACCAGAATCAACGGTGCTTCCCATCAAAGGGTATTGAATAAAAAGGATTAAAACGCTTTAAAAACAATTCCCTTGCAGATTGACGAAGTTTTCAAGAAAATTTTGTGAACAGGGTCACTTTTTGTACCGCGCCTGGATCGTAGGACCTTGGTCAATGTCATTCAGAAATTCTCCTTCTATGCACGAATGTTGCTACATTCTCTTACTGTTCCTGCAATTCAGTCGAATCTGTCTAAAGAGCAGACTGTCTCGAAGCCAAAATACGTACACATCTTGACCGGATCTAGCGGATTCGTGAAAGAGACTGTTCTCGTTCGAGAAGAAGCCAGTGCGCCATCGATTATGGTGATGCCTAGAATTTTAACTTGCGAATTTGCTGTTGAAACGTTGGGCAACGGGGACTTCACGGGTGGACACAGCGCTTTATTGGCTCCATTCCACGAAGCTATACGGCACCGATGCCGTTGCCAAAGAATAATTCTGGCGTGAACGATGACTTACGCAGGCTGTGAAATATGTTGCTTGCGCCACCGTGCTCCGAGTTAGGCAAGCATTATATCGTCTCTGGTTCCAGAAACCAAAAGCCGATTGAAAGTCATATAACTCGAGAAACGTCAGGCAAGCTGCCAAAACATTCTGCAGCTGTGGCGGGATCAATTCTCAGCTGAATCTTCTCCATTCGGAAAAAAGGCGAACATGCTTCTTGTCCTAAGCCTCGATACCCGAATTGACTCTACGCCTCACTTGTATACTCTCACGTTCTTCGGAACAAAACGAAGGATGACATTCTGTCTACAGCGTCAAGCCTCCACTCGTTGCTGATAACGCTTCAATTCTATTTCATACATCTATCACTTGCCGTAAGATTTTCACCTGGGATGCTAGCGAGATTTGGATTTCGACAAAGCTTCTTGGTTTCCTGTTTCTCAGCCTGTGTCAATCCCACCCCATTGATGCTAACGTTGACTCAGCCAAACCAGTTCTTGCTCTCTTGCCCTCTCGCGCTTTTCTTCCCCTTTCCACCATCTTCCGTGCGCGATTTGCCTTGTCCACGACTCCTCCCTTTTCCCTCGACCTACCTACCGGTCTGTCCGCCGATTCGCCTACAGACCTTTCCACAGACTTGCCCGCTGCCTTCTTCCCCGCACCCTCGGCCACCCCCTCTGCTGCTCTGTCCCGCAGATCGCGCGCGGCTTTGACACGGACAGATGTGTACTCAATCCCCTTCGCCTTGAGAAACTTCAACACCCCTCGGCTATCGCAGAGCGGGCATCGCCCAGTCTGCCCCGTCGCCTCGCAAGTTTCGAGTTCGGGGCAATCGAGCCCATTCGGCACTATGTCATAATGCTTCATATCGACGCTCATGTAGTCGACACCGTTGAAGAACAGATCCAAGTCTCGGCAGTGCCCCGTGAGGAGCTTGGGGCTGAAAGCGGTCCTATTCCTGTTGTCGGCAAGACCGGTGAAGAGGGAGCAGAGCACGACGGTGCCGGAGACGTAGACGCAGTCACAGACGGGTTGCTGGGCGTAGTAAACGATGCACATGGTCCTTGAGGTTCTGGAAGAAGAAGCAGCAGCAGCAGCTTCTGAGATGCTTGGACATGGAACGCAGAGGAGTATGACCATGAAAGGGGGTTTAAAGAGTCGAGGTCAGGCAACAAGACATGACACGAAAGACAACTTCTCCAACACGTCGGAATGACATGACGAGAAGGTACGAAAACAATGTCCATGTTACTCGGGCCCTTATCCCGACGCACGGTGCCATCTCTTTCATCCCCTTCTCCAGCGTTGGCCCGATTTCGACGGAGCACTCCAGGTAGCCAATGCAGCCGTGTCGGATGATAACCAACAGCGTTCTTCGTCACTGACCTTTGTATGCGACTGCGCCGAGAACTCATATATGAAACGTGGTCAGTGAAGCGATTTGCTATTACACTGTTGGTAATGGTGATGCCTAGGGTACATGTGGTCCTGCGAAGGGTGTCTAGGAGGTGTGAGCATTGTGTGTCGTTGGGTATCGGAGATGCCACGGGAGTAGGGGAAGGACATGGAGTATATCAGACGACTGAAAACCGAGGAAGAAACCAGAGATATCAGCGATGCGAAAGTTTTGAAGCATGAGGCAAAAGAATGTTTCTATAAACCGATAAATCAGACTGTTAGGATCCCTATCTATGTGAGATGCCTCTAAAACTCCCAGTAGCCCCTGATCGATGCTGAAAAAACACTACCTTGGTCTCCAACCCATCATATTTTCGCGCCATCGCTCTCAATGAACGTGACCCTAGCTTTACAACCGGACCTTGATGAGACGAAGGGAAATTCTTAGAGGTCATCGTCGTACTGATCCATCAAGCCATTCGCTTCGGCGTCTCGACCACGACTGCTTGTGGGCAGCTGGTTGTAGCCTCGGCGGCGGGGGATGAAGCGTGCGCAGGAGGAGGTTAGGATGACGAAAATGTCCTGTCGGTTCTGTCAGAGACAAGACTCACACGGAGCGTCTTGCTTGGGTTGGGCTCACGGAAATGAAACCAAACATTCCAGCCCATAGAGTGTAATTGGGCAACTGCCGCCAACCCCTCTGATGCATGACCGTGCGCTGGTAAGCGATACCACCTAGGAGATAAACGGCCGCCGCAATTAATGCAATAACCCCGAATACACCACCCGGGCCCAGCGTTTGTTGCGCTTCACTGACACCTCCACAAGCAGCCATTGAGCGCGCTTCAAAGAAGAATGTGCACTCGTCTGGGTCGGAGCCTATGAACGAGAGATGCACTTTTGGCGCAAGCGAATCTCGATCGCAGGTGAACGAGATCAGCGTTGACTTCCGTCGGACTGGTTCTTTGGTTTTGGAGCCCTTGTGACCTTTGCGGTCATCGTCCCAATCATCTTCATCATCATCGTCGTCGTCGTCTGGGACGTTCAGCTTGCGTGGGAGAAGGCGGTCAGAGTTTGACTCGCAGGGTGAGCCGTCAGTGTAATTCAGGACGAGTTTGCGGCCACGGAAAAACGGCTCTGTCGATGCTTGCCTGTTTGGTGCATCTGTTAGAAAGTGTCCCAGACTGCTCGGGGATTGCTTAGAGAACATACCCCATCGAATATGTCTTCTTCCCAACTGTGTAGAACGCACTAACGTTCTTCCAAAGTGGCTCTTCTACCCCTACAACATCCTCCATAGCCTCAATGACCGGCGCGCAGAAATTCATGGTGAAGTTGGTATCATAGTCGTAACCTCGGGCATGCCAGCTTTCTATCCGGTCATCTTTGTGCGCTTTCTTGTGATCTATCAAAGGTTGGACTGTGATAGTGTTGAGATCGTAGGTATTCCCATTGGAGGGGTTGTAGACGGTACATGGTTTCGTCTCTTTCAGGTCTGCTGCGAGGGTTGTAGAGCTGAGGAGGAGTGGGAGGAGGGCGGCGGGGAGCTTGGGGCGCATTGCGACCTCGAGCGAAGTATATGTCAGTCAGGTCAGGATCGTATCACGCACTTTATTCAGTTTCTTGTAATATAGTTGCATCGGTTTCTTTGGAAGGATATCATCCGGTATAACCGTAGAATCGTATTCAGGCAGTTGCTGATCTGGTTCTTTCAGGACCGAGGGTGACAGGGATTCATAAACCCTGCATAAACTAGATAGTAGTACGTCAGCCCTGTACTCTACTCGTATGATTTGCGCACAAATTTAATGCAAAATGAGCTACTCCGTACTAGAACGTCCTACTCGTATAGCATAGGGATATTGCAACTTGCAACTTCGGGTGAGGTTATAACCTGAAGCTGTTTACATCCTAGCTTGATTGATTCTTTCACCTTTTCAAGGTAGAAAACTACTGTACCCTTCAATTTGACAAATACCTGAAATTGGAAAAAGCTCAAATTTCCTGCAGCAATGTCAAAGAGTGAGCGGAAATCGGTGCTTCCATCGGAACCCTCTCATGGCTATGAATTTGGCGGACCGTAAGCTTTCCGCGAAAGCAGCGGAAGCCTTCAACAAAACTAATGGATACTCAGTCTCGGGGCATTTGCGACTTCTCTCGGGCTACCACTTGTCTGCTACCTAGCAACGTTCCTCTGCAATGACATCTCCGGCTGTCCTGTACCCTCTGCTCTACACCCTTGGAGCCTCACGGTAGCCAAGTTGAAGGAAGAAACTGGTTGGCCGGGCTTCCAAGGATTGATCAGCACCAAGGTCACAGTATGGGTATTAGGCTACTACTTCTTGAGCCTGGTGCTCCAGGCTGCTCTTCCTGGTGTACTGACCGAGGGTGTGGAGCTTTCATCTGGTGGAAGGCTAAAGTACAAATTCAATGGTAGATGAAGCCAGTCTGGCTGTGCAGGACCTGGCTAATTTTGCAACAGCGTTCAGCTCTGCTGTGACTGTGATTGGCGCTGCTGCTTTGGGGACCTTCGTACAAGGACCAGACTTCCCTTTGTGGACTTTCATTTGGGACAACTACACGCAACTCATCACTGTGAACCTGGGCGTCGCCTTCTCGCTCGCATGTTTCGTGTACGCCCGAAGCTTCTCGGTGAAAGCAGGCAACAAAGAACAGAGAGAATTGGCACCTGGTGGACACTCTGGGAATCTCGTCTACGATTGGTTTATCGGCCGCGAACTCAACCCTCGTGTGACTCTACCTGTGTTCGGCACTATCGACATCAAAGCTTTCTGCGAGCTTCGACCGGGCATGTTGGGTTGGGTGTTACTCAATCTGGCTTTCTGTGCGCACCAGTACAAAGTCTATGGCTATGTCAGTGACAGCATCATCTTCATCACATTTTTCCAGGCATTATACGTCTTCGACGCCCTATACATGGAACCGGCCATCTTGACAACTATGGACATAACCACTGACGGCTTCGGCTTTATGCTGGCCTTTGGAGATCTTGCGTGGCTACCATTCATCTATTCGTTGCAAGCGCGCTATCTCGCAGTGTTTCCTGTCGATCTCGGATACGCAGGTCTCGCTGGTTTATTCGCGGTCCAAGGCTTTGGTTACTATATTTTCCGTGGCGCAAACAACGAGAAGAACCGATTCCGGACCAATCCTAAGGATCCTAAGGTTGCACACCTGAAATACATAGAGACAAAATCTGGAAGCAAGCTCCTAATCTCTGGCTGGTGGGGTATAACAAGACACATTAACTATCTCGGCGATTGGATCATGGCATGGTCATACTGCTTGCCAACGGGGATTGCTGGGTATATGGTGCAGCAGAGCTCTTCATTGAGTGATCATCCAGCTGATGGGTCCATATTCGGAGGTACACCAACGCGCTCTCCAGTCGTACAAGGTGAGGCAAGAGGTTGGGGCATGGCCATCACATACTTCTATGTTGTGTATTTTGCTATTCTCCTTGTACATCGCGAGATGAGGGACGAAGAGAAGTGCATGAGGAAGTACGGAAAGGATTGGGAGGTATATAGGGAGAAGGTCCCCTGGAGGCTCATTCCTTATATTTATTGAATTAGAAAAGGGAAACGTTGAGCTCATCTGGTCTCAGACCAAACGAATATATGAAAATTGCGGGCAGAACGACATGGCGCGGTAGAGGGAGCACGGACTGAGATCTCGGGCTAGTTTCTAGAAACAGACAGTTAACCCCTCTACTCAACTTTCGCGGACTTCACGTCCTCCTAGATCATTCCTCTGTCAACCTCAAGCTCCTTCGAGTTTCCATCGCTGTCCTCGTGCTGTTGGTGCAAGGCTCGTGATTTTAATCGACACGAACACGCCATACGCGTTTTCGAACACGCTCTAAGCTCGACGTACACGTGAATTGAAGACCGCGGGCATTCCTTAGTGCATTATGCAACTATGACTCCAAGAAGCATTTGCATCACCCAATACCTGAAACGTTCCCAGCCGTTTCAGATTGACGGAAGGCACTTCTCGGCGCTCGCGACCACCTACTTTATGAAGGTTGAAGAAAAAAGAAGTCTGGTTCAATGGTTGACTGATTGCTTCGCCGTACCTAAGCGCGGATAAGCGGAAACCCTCGATTTCCCCCCACCGCTATCAAGGCCGTGTCTTGGAATGACAAAATGCGATACTGATATCGCGTGGCAAAAGCCCGGCGGTTATCGATACCTAGTGTGAGTTTGTGGAGATCGACACATAGATTCGATATTGAGAAATGTAGGAAAATTATAATCGATACGCTGTTGCAAACGTGGCGGTCCTTCCGGTGCCGATTATTAATGTTTCTGTCTCATGACTGAACTTGGTGAGTCCCGGCGCTTCAACCAGGATATCGTTTCGTCCGCATCTGCACCAGTACGACTGCACGGTCTGCACTGCGCTTTCGCGACCTCCGAAAATCTACAATTAGAACCGGCGCTAGTGAACGATCTTCCCAGCGCACAGCCACCACTGATCAGCCACATGGCAGCATCCCGGAAGTCGTCATGAGCCTTGCAAACGGTCGCCTACACTTGAGCAAAGATTCTGTAAGAGTGTTGAGTGTGAGATTCGAGGGTATTATGATTGATTAGGTCTATTGTTTTGTAGAGTAGGTAGTAGAATGAGTGAATAACACTCACACAGAAAGTTAGTCCGAGGCCACGCGGCCAATCACACCACGCAGCAGGGGTTTTCAACATCAAGCTCATGTTCCTACCGCAAGTTCACTCCCACTCAACGAATCTCGTCCAAGAAGCGGCCAAAGCACACCCACACCATCACATGAACCTTTCAGCTATCACGCATCTATCGCGCACCAGGCCATCGACTGGTCCTCCAGGCATCTCCCTCTCCAACTACCAGTACCCCGTTTCCTCGCGTGGCTCGTGATCTCGCGGAATGCTGCCATCGTTGCTTTGATTGTTGCTCGCCCTTCTCAAAGCAGCAAAAAGGCCGTTCGTACTCTATACGTGGAGCTGAAAGGAGATTGATATTGTCGAACGCGGTAGTCCCCCCCGCACCAAGGGGCAACATGCTGCTGCTGCCGCCATGACCCCCCCGGGTGATCAGGAGGCATTCTTTCATTTGTTTCGTACCGAGGCAAGCAGTAACGCAGATGCATCAATAGCTCTGAATCTTCATAACACACTTCTGCACGCCACCACCTAGGTACCATGGTGTCGCCCGCACTTGCTGCTACTCTTAGGTACCTACCGCCGCCGCAGGATGTGGAAGACCCTTCAACTAGGTATTAAGGCTACCAGTCGAGGATGACTGATGTGTTCTATTTCAATTCAAATGGTTTGGCGAAAGTCTATGTACGAGTACGTGTGACTTTCTTTTTCCGGGTTACCGCCCTCACCTTCACAGCGATTTGATGATGGTCATGATCTTTTATACAATTTTCATACTCGCGAACCACTGCAAGGCTGCTTGCTTCGAATTCCCAGCGGAAGCAAAAAGAATTCTCAAGTTACTGTTATTTTCTTAGCAACTTACATTCTTAGCATGGAAAAAAGTCTTTGGTTTCTAGTTGCATGACGGATCCACCCTGACGGCAAGCCTTGGGGGCTGTGGAGGTCCAGCCTGGCGCGGCCTTTTTGCCGAGGATGGCACAAGTGCAAGAATCAGCGCGCATCTCACGCAACTGTATGCGTGTTTTGGGTTTACTTCCATAACAAGCTGCATAACACTGCTGAATCCCAACTGGAACTTGCATGATGCTAAATCGCTCTGGTCTTGCGGGAAACCGACTGCGCTTGCCCAGTCAAATCATTCTGTTCGTTATAATATGGTGCGACCCCCGCAGAATATCGTGCCCTTACTCCTCACTCTCCTTCGGTGCCACCACATCCACCACCGACTTTTTTTTCTTCCTTCCATATTTCTTCTACCTCTTTACCTCAGGCGTGCACATTATTTCCCTTGTCTTGGGACCGCCACTTAATTTATTCTTTTTCTTGACCATTTCCTTCATACTTTCCACAAATCCCACCGCTCTACATCCTGTCGCATATCATCAACATAACCCTTCACAACACAATGCCTGCTCAACTACTACCCGCCTCCGCTGCTGCTTTCGCAACCCGTTCCGCTCCTAACATAGTACTCAACACCAAGGTAGATCCATGGTTGACCGCTACTCTCAAGAGGATAAACAAGATCAAGAGGCCGCTCAACAGTGTACCACAGCACTTTCGATGCCTCACTGAGACTCTCTCATCCCCTTCGGCGATATGGACTCTCTGCTCGCTCCTGCTTCCAAAGGCACCAGACTCAGAACTCGTGCATGACGATAATCCTTTGATAGAAGCCGTCTTCAATTACAGGATGGTCTCCATCGAAGCTTATATCGTCCATGTCGACATGGTCTCACAGAACGAAGTCGCTTTCAAGCTCACGCCAGAGACGATAGAGTCGTTAGTAGAGTTCCACAAGGAGGTTCACTCCAAAGACACTTCAGACCATACTTACAACTGGTCGGAGAAGGAGGTCCAGCTCAAGAAATTGCAAGAGGACTTCGTTCAAGCCGCCAACAAGTATGTCTACCGTACGAGTGCCATGGCCCTAGAAGGATTGGAAGAGGATGGTGCTGGCGAGTTGCTTTGCGGAAGGAGTGAAGAGGTCAAGACCGCGATCATGGGCATGTTCCTCCCACTTCTACCACCACCGCCGCGACCCGTCGAAACCGTCCGTCCAACTCCAGTCCTTCCAAGCTCAACAGGTGCCGAGGACTGGTGGCAGCCAAGTTTGCCCTCGCATTACTCTGCTGCACCAGAGTCGTGGAAGTACGCTTCGTCAAGTACTGTGTACACATCAGCGGATTCTGGGTACGGAACGGGCACTTGGACAAGCATGGACCTGGATCCCAACCTGTACTTTGGTGATGTCCCAGCTATGAATTCGCCAACGACGTCATACAGCAGCGATCCATACACTGCGGAAAGCCCAAGTCCACCACAGTACTACAGCCTTCCGGTTTCGTCGGCGCCAATGTCTCAGGAGCTACCTTTACCTAGCACGCTTATGCAATCACAACAGTGTGGCACGAGTATGAGCTGGGGTGGCTTCGGTGGCTTTGGATGGGACAACTACCAGAGCTTCGCGCCGATACCATATGCCATGTGAAAGTCACGTTGGCTACATTGGTCATCTCTTCACAGCATTAGCGGCTACAGCTTGGGCCTCAGCAGGACTTTGAGCGGATCAGACTTCTTTCACGAGCCCACGAGACGAACCCGCGCCACAAGCTTACAGGCGTCATCATCAGAATCATCGACATGGACTAGAGCCGAATACCCACTTCTTTGCTTTTGTGTTATTTGCTGCGTCATTCTAGCGAGCGTTGCTGTTCTTCTTGGTTTCCCTGCATTGGCATCGGCTGGTCCGGACCACCCTCTTCACTTCTTTCGATCGACTCTTTGGGAGGTTCAAAATCCTGCATTTATACAAGATCGGCGGCCTCACGGCAACGGAATGAGTAGACAAATGTCCGGCCTTTTCTGCCTTTTTCTTTCATCATGTCGTCTCACAGGGAGCGCCCAGCTCAAAGGTGGTAAGATCCTGAGAGTCGGTTTGCATTACCCGGCGTCTTGTCTACTCTGGCACTGTGTGCTAGCTGGATGGTAGGCGGACGACGACAATACCTAATAGGAGAGGGGAGCATACTGGTATGCGGGGTGGCTGCGTTGTTGCCCGCGGATATCGGACCGAGTCTCGGTGGATAGCGCATCGAGGGAAGCCTGTGGCGGAACTCGAGGGAGGGTCTGTGGTCTTCTTTGTGGTCGTACTCAAACTCGGGACTGTGGAAGCTGGCAGCAACGTGGATTGTAGGGTCATCTCCTACGCTTGGAACTGGGTTCTGGGAAGCCGACCATTGATTGGGAGGAACCGGGTGCTGGACATGAGCTGCGCTCTTTACATATAAATGTAATAAAAATGTGAAATACAGACATTCTTACTGAGACTACCCTTGCTCGTTCATGACACTTGATATAAATGCTCGCTCACTCACTCACTCACTCAACAGAGATGACAGGTATGCCAAGTCGGACTTGTGTTGAAGCGCGAAAAGGAAGACATGACCCGGTTTCCGAAACACGGTGTTGGTGGTGTCATCATCGACATCCTGCTAAAAAGCTGCCCACCTTGACAAACGAGCATGATATATACCACATTGCCACGATTCAATGACTTTTTGACGCTCTGTAAATAGCCAACATGTTCCTACGTACCTATTCACTCCCTTCACTTGATCCTACCATACTCCTCGAGCCATTTACCTGCAACTCGAGGATACATCACTTCTGCTTGCCGTCTCACTAGGATCATTACGCTTACCATTGAGCTGCATCGAAAAAGAAGATTTGCTTTCCAATTGGCTCAGATATTCTAGAGATTCATCCTTCTTTCAATCCAGCATACTTTCCCCACCATGGCCGCCCTTCACAGCGCTCTCCAGTCCCTCAGTCCGACTCCATTCTCCTCCGTCCCAACAGCGGAATCAGAAACCATATCCTACCTACAAAATGCCTTCACTGAAGCCCAAACAATAATCGACTCGGTCCCCCTCCCACCTCCAAATGATCCACTCGTCTCCACCAGACCCCGCTCCTCCACCAGCGCATCCATAGCCTCAAATGTCTCCGAGATCTCTTCTTCCTCCGCTCGCTCAGAACCGCTCGATCCCTCACATATCAGCTTACAGAAAGAATGGGGCAAGCCGATCAAATTAAATGCCAAGGACAATCCGCTGGGTATGGCGGTCTACAAGCTGGGGGGCAAGGACGGGAACGGGGCGTGGTTTGCCAGGAGGAGCGTACATGAGGGGCTGGGCTTCAAGAAGTGGAAGCTGGGTTTGCAGAGAGAGTTTCCGGAGACGTTGGAGGTGCAAGGAGGGCCTGGGGAAGGTAACATACGGGGAATTGGTGGGGAGAGAAGGGTGGAGCGGAGGCGCATTGAGGGGGCAGGGACAATTGAGGGTAAGCCTTTGATTCTTGTGGGATGGGATTGGTATTGACAAGATGGCAGTGTACCATTTATCTGCACAATTTCCAGGACCTACGACACCGCGGGATTTCGTCACATTGCTACTCACGTCCTCCTCTGCCTTAAGCGAACCCCAGTCTTTAGCTTCGCGACCTTCTTCTTCGGCATCTGATGGCGCTAAATCAAGAACTCAACGATATACCGATACCCCTAGGCACTTCATGGTCATCTCCAAGCCGTGCAGACATCCGGATTGCCCACCGAGGGACGGTTTCATAAGAGGGCAGTACGAATCAGTCGAGTTCATACGCGAGATACCTAGAAAGTCAAAGAAGGCATCGTCTACTACAGATCTGCTCGAAGTCGCTCGACCACGAGAACATTCTCCGCCTCTTGAGAAAGAGCTCCTTCTACGCAATGCGGACCGCAAACTCAAGGAGTCCGGGAAAGAGTTGTTGGACGGAGACGGTCAGCTAACGCCAGCTGCAGCAGACGAGGTGGCTAAGGAGGGTCGGAAAAGAGGCAAGACAATTTCCTTCGCCGGCTCCAGGGGGGCTAGTGCGAAGGGAGAAGCGATGGATGATCCTGACGCCCATGACGACGCTGAGTTGAACCCGGTAGAATGGATCATGATTACGAGGAGTGACCCGGGAGGGAGCGTGCCGCGATTCATGGTCGAGCGAGGGACGCCCGGAAGCATTGTCGCTGATGCGAGCAAATTCCTCGATTGGGCATGTAAAAAAGAACATCCACAGGACGAAGTGGAAGCCTTGGAAAACGGCGACTTGGAGCATGTCCAGAGAAAGACGCGCGAGGGGCTAGAAGCCTACGACACCAATGGTCATTTGGCTGGCTTGGACGGCGAGGCTTATGGGGCCGAAGCGCCTTCAATAGCAGTCCCTCAGCGTACGAGCGTCGAGATGGCAACAGCACCCGCCGAGCCGGCCCAGCAAGGAGGACTGGTAGCTACAGTGGCCAATGCTGCATATGCCGGCCTTGAGAGCTATGCCCCTCAAGCTGTCATCGACCGCCTTCCCAGTCACCCGCATACGCAGTCTATGCAATCTATCGATGAGGTAACAAGTATTCCTAATGGCATAAGTGCTACCCTCAGTCGCACCGTCAGCTCCGCCTCCAGCGTTGCGTCGTTTGCGAGCGCAGAAGACCACTTCGACGACACGCTATCTGCCAAGTCAGCCACTTCGCAGACCAGATCATCCAACTCCAAAGACATTGCCGCAATGTCACCGCACGAAAAGGAACTCGCGAAGCTCAACGAGCGCAAAAAGAAACTAGATGAAAACCTTGCGAAAGCTCGCGAGAAGGAGCTGAAAGATAAAGAGGAACTCACCTCAAAAGAGGAAGAACGAATCAAAAGAGCCGAAGAAAAACACGCAAAGGAGGTTGCGAAGCAAGAAGAAAAGTACAAGAAGGAAGTCGCAAAGCTGGAAGCGAAGCGCCAAAAGGAGGCAACCAAAGCGGAAGAGCGAAAAAGAAAGGAGGAGGACAAGGACGAGAAAAGGCGACTAACCAGGGAGAAAGATGAGATGAAGCAGGCGCTCGAGGTCGTGAGTAAGGAGAGAGATATACTGAGGGAACAGGTCGGGGCGCTGCAGAGGGAGAATACAGGACTAGTGCTGCGACTGGGGAAGATGGACGAGGGGAAAGAACTTCTGAAGGAGGCCAAGAAGGAGACGGAGGAAGGAGGGAGGAGTAGGAGCGGGAGTCTGAGGAGGGAGAAAGGTCCGGGGGTGAAGGGCAAGGAGGCGACGGTCTTAGCAGGGGAGAAGCTGGTGGATGGGGAGACGACGAGTTGAGTGGATCTTGTTCAAATAGCATTGGTGCTTTGTGTACATGATGGAAGCTAATATGCATCTCTTGTTGAATACCGTGTGCAAACTTCCATTTCCTTGAGACGCCATGCCGTCGACTAAAACAATGACAAAACCCAGTCGAAGATCACATACTAAATTTCTCAATTCTGTTTTGGAAGGCCCACGACCCCTATCGAGAAACCGGAACGGGTCTGATGCTCGTCATCTCTTTGAATAGAAGACTTGAGGGCACTGGTGTTGCCGTAGAGGGACAGAGCATTGTACAACGTGTTGTTCCTTGCGTAAGAAAGATCTATGATCTCAACCCCTTCTATGATAAAGCGTATGATATCGATTCGTAGTTCGGAGATGCCCCTCCTGGATGCCTGATTGGGCATGCTGTGGTTCCGATTGAATGCCGCCCCCTCTAGACAGTGAATCGGTTCCCCTTTCCAAACAGAATGTACGGCGGACACTCGATCATCTTCCTTCTCTCTGCTCACACACTTCGGCTCCCTCAGTCTCAGAATCCAAAGCCACCCGGCATCCCCCCGGAAAAGCCACCCCTCTGCCTCGACCTCCCACCTCCACCGCCAGCCGCCCCAAACGGACTGCCTCCTCCCATGCCCCCACTTTGGAACGAAAACCCACCGCCACCACCTCCTGCACCACCCATCATATTGAACAGCATCTCCGGACTGATATTCATACCTGGGCCCCCTTGCATCGGGAAGCCACCACCCTGTTGTGCAAACATCTCGCTAGGGTCGATGAGGTCTTCACCACTGTCATATCGCCCGCGTTTTTCAGGATCACTCAATGTCTCGTACGCTTCTCCGATATCCTTGAATCTCTCCGCTGCACTCTCATCATCGGGGTTTTTATCGGGGTGATGCACAATCGCCAACTTTCTATACGCCTTCTTGATCTCATTGTCAGTGGCATCCTTCTCCACTCCAAGGATCTTATAGTAGTCCTTGCGTTTCGCCTTCTTGAGCTCGAGCTCTGCGTTGCGGATTTCCTTTGCAATACCAGGCTCCTCAGGGTAAGATTCAGCAATGGCTTTGTATTCGTTGACGGCGGTTTGCCAGTCGCCGGATTCGCCGAGGGCGCGAGCTTTGGTTTTGCGGGCTTTGGTGTAGGAGGGGTCGAGAGTGAGGGCGCGGGTGCAGTCTGAGATGGCGGATTTGTAGTTTTTGAGCTGTAATGGGTATTAGACGTTGTAGCTATATGAAAGAGAAGGTATAAAAAATACCTTTATCGACGCCATGGCTCTGTTTTGCAGTATCTTAGAGTTTGTTCCCTTGTTGTTCGGGTCGATCTCCAGAGCCTGGCTGTACAGACTGACAGCTTGCTTGAATCTGCCTCCCTTGAAAGCTGTATTGCCCTCTTCCTTCATCCGATCCAGCTTCTGCACCATTCGGAGGTACTTCACGCCATCCTTGAAGTCAGGATCGCAGCTCAGGGCTTGTCGGAAATGTTGCAAAGCCTTCTCGTTCTCCCCTTGACTGTACAGAGCTCTCCCCCTCAATACCAAAGCCTCTGGATCCTGGTTGTTCTTGCGTAGTAATGACATTGCCACATTTTGCGCCTCACCCAGTGCATTGGGGTTGCCCATCTTCAGATAAGCTTCTCCTCGCAGCAATTGCCATTTTCTTGGCTTCGCGACACCAACTCCCAATCCTCGCTCAGCTTGATTCAGGGCGTGTATTGCCATAGAGCCAGTAGTTCCTTCTCGTACAGCATCTTCTGCTCGCTTTATGTCGGTCTGCATCGACTGTGCTGGTGACCGGTCCTGTTGTGTTACTGTTTGGAAGGAGGCTATACGGTCGAGAACATCGATGGCTTCCGATGGCCGACCAAGGCTGGTGTATATTCGGGCTAATCGGTGAAGGACTTTTGGATTCCGTGTTTCTACTTCATCGGCGGTCTTTGAGTCTTCTAGTGCTTCCTCGAATCGGTTTGCGGACATGTAAGCAGCGGCTCGGTTGGAGAGGTAAGTGACCGATCGAGGTTCAACAGCGAGGGCTAGAGGGTGCAATAGGTATTAGCCAACCCCATACATGAAGCGAGGTGGATCCTAAGAACCGGGCGGCGGTCTTCACCTTTCGTGTACTCTTGGACAGCCCTTGTGTAGTCCTTCGCTTTGAAATACTTATTTCCTGTAGCCTTGCACGCCTCAGGATCGTATGCTGGCTTTGGCGGCGGTGACGGTGTCTTGTGTGGTGGAGGAATAGGACTGCCATTGCCATTCATTTGGTCGTGATCCGACAGTCCGTTGGTATGCTGATATGTTCCCGAGGTCTCGGAATCGACATCCATTTGGTACCTGTCCTCATCCTGCTCGCCATCTGAAGACATTGCCGAGCGACGGCGCTCCCGCTCGTCAGGCGGCAGATTCAAAGGATGTGTGTCGGCGGAATATTGTGTGCGGTGTGTGCTTCGTGACCAGGAACCTTTTCGGTATGGTTGCTCCTGGCCCCGGATAGACTTTGTGGGTGATGGTGCCGAGGACTTTGCTGGAGATTTTGAGGGAGACTTTCGTGGTCGTGGTCGTGGTCGTGGTGAAGAAGAGGAAGATGACGTCTTATTTTCCTTGGTGTCAGGCTCGGTCTTCTTCTTGGGTGAGGATTTAGTGAAAAGGCCCATAAGTGTTAATGGCGCCGGGTAGGTGCAAAGTAGTGGAGGGAAGGTTTTCGTGCCCAGGCGATCCCTGCAGTTAAGCTCAATCTACAACAGCACCAGACAGTACAACTTCTCTAGGGTACAGCACCAAAGATCAAGATGGTGGGGGCCAATTGTGCTTTGGTAGATTTCTTCAACTATTGCCTAAAACAGTTGGGGAAAAAAAAGAATGAAATTCAAGGATCAAGATGGTTGGAGCTCTGAGCTTGCTTGGCCTCATACGTGGACAAGGCTCGCTTCTCCGCTTCCAGAAGCTTCCAAAATGTCACTTTGTTTATGCGGTAGCCAATCTCATCTCGAATGGATTCATTCAATATTTGCTTGATTTCTATTGGAGATGGCCAAAAGGTGTTGATGGAAGACACATGACTCCGACGGCTGCTTCTTACAAAATGATCAAAATCACCCCCTTTATTCACCCAAGACAGATGCTCCAGCATCTCCAGTCATCACCCTTGTCTTATCATGCCGTCATCATCCTTTCTCATAGAAGAGCTCCTGGCTTGTATCCGAGTCTCATCCTCCCCAATACCTGCTGAGGCGGGCCTTTTCCATAGACCACCTCAAACCTTCCTCTCAGCAAATACGCCTCCGCCACTATCTCCACCCAAATTCACCCTCCCCGATTTGCCAGAGAAAATCAATTGACTCTCCCCTTCTCCTCTGACAGCCTCGATGGTCCTCTTAACCCAGCCCCTCTTCTCATCCTTAACCACTTTTAGTCCATCCCAATCTAGATCGATACCCCCACTCAAAGTACTGCCCTTAACCGTCCCTTGCCACTGTGCTGGATACCATAGATTCAAACTGCCCGACAAGCCATGATGTTCAGAGTAGAGCTTCCTAATCGGATCGATTGGATGGGAGAGGGATGAGTGGACAGTGATATCGGTACTGCCGCTTTGGGAATGCGTGTTGATATCTGTACGGGAGTCATTGTGGCCGTAGGGATATAGATCTGCGTTGATGCGTCCGTTGTTTGACCGCATTGAGGTTCGTGATCCGTGCAGAAGTGTAGCGTCGATACTACCGCTGAGCGATTTGACTGTCATTTGGTAGTCTCGAGCGGGTACCGAAACTGTGGATGTCAAGGCGCGGATGGAGCCACTCTGGGAGGAGAGGCGAAGAATAGCAGGTTGAACATTGCCTTCCTCGGCATCTTTGGGTTCGACGTCAATATCGATGGAGCCTGATGTGGTCGAGATGTCCAAGGTGTCATAGAGAGGGTATGAACCAGTGACTGAGCCGGAGTTCAGATGTATCCTTGTCTCTCGGGAATTGATAACGATAGATGGAGGCTCGTCTGTTGCAAGTGACAAGGAAGCGGAGTGTGCATTGATCTCGGTACGATTTGTGATGGCGTAGTCTAGCCCGGGAAAAAATGTAACTGACAGGGTCTCGGTCTTGATTCCAAGGTTCTCAAGAGTCGTCCCTGGAGGTATCGATACAGTTGCAGCTACGTAGATGCATGGCAATTCAGCTCCACCGGCTGACGATGACTCTCTCGGCGTCCTCCTTGGGGTCTTGACTGTCAGAGCCGAGCCTGACTTTACAACGCTCAACGACTCGGAGCTCGTAAGCTGAGGATCGGAGCTCCTGATATCAAGAGCGATTCTGACATTCGAGAGTGAATCCTGTTTGAGGACTTCTACTTTGCCGACTGTACGTACGAAACCGAAGTCAGGGCCATGGCGTTTGAGATCGTGAGATTCCTGCGCGAACGCCAATTCGGTCGGCTTGTTGAAGTCGAAGCTCAAGGTCTTCCTATGTTTGGTGCCCGGACAAGTCTTGGGTATTTCGCCATAATAGCTATGTTGGGATGCAGGACTCTGCATCGTCTGTTAGTGATCCACATACACAGTCTTTCTAAGAGAACGACGTGCCTTGCTGCTTTGGGGTTCAAAAAGCTCCAAGGTAAAGGTCATTGCCAGAACAATGAGAGTGCATATAAGAGCCCATTTCACAAACACTCTGATTGGAGACGCGGATGCTTCGGTCTCAGATCCTATGGGAAAGTGCTTTGCAGAGGGTCTCAGCTTATCGCCATTCTTCGAGTAATCTGGGTAACCTTCAACATCCTCAGGCTTCTCGTCTGAGAGGAAAATAGCTTGGCGGCCCATGATGCTTCGAAAGGACAGATGAAAGTAGCGTCAAAACAAGAATACAGCTTGGTATTCAGAGAGTCGTAAGCTTATGATGGGTATGAACGCTCAAGGAACAGACCGTTATCTAGATATATATCAGAGAGCCGCAAGGCAGCAACTACTGATATGGAAGGTAGTGAGGGAAACTATCAGTCCGCCCGCTTTACAAAGGCGGTCGGGGACCCCGCAGCTTACATCCTCACAGTGTCCAATGAAGGCGAAGATTGCATTGTTGGAAGGATTGATGCCCGCTCTGGTGGCTGGCGGCTGGTGGTCGAGGTGGTCAGACCGGCAGCGGGATGATATCAGAGCACAAACAGGCTAAGCCTTTTTGGAGACTGCTACACCACTACTTACGTTATTGTCAACATATCTTGGAAGTTTGGCCTCCTTTGTGATAATCGAGAGGCCAGTATCATATCATAGTATATCGTAGGATGACTTTCAATCCTTTTTTCTCAGGCTTCTTGAGGCGTGTATCCTACCTTAGTAGATGCAGTTGACGCTTGGTTCTCTGCCCTCGATACTATCAAATTTCGTCTCTATCAAGCCTTTGCAACCATCATATTGAGACATCACTTCCCCCATAATCACCATCCTCACCGCTACCATCCTTCTCATCTCTTCGACCAGATCGTCCACATCAAATGCATGATCATTTGACTCTCAGTCCCCCTTCCATTTAACACAACCCTGGCCAACTCCCCACTAGGCCTGTCCCACATCCAGGTAATGTCTTCCTTTCCCTGGGTAGCGAAACCTGGGCCTCCAATCCACACTTTCAATGCCACTCCGAACTTCTCCATCAATTGGCGAATCACAACTCCGACTTGATAATTTCGGTGTCAGCATTACTATTTCGCGAGGAATTCTGAGTCGCGAGATATGTCTTAGGAGCAGAGAACTCTTGAGACATGTATGGCGACCCATGAGACATGAATGGGGAAGATAGAACGTACCGGCCATTGCCTTCTTGACTGATCGTTTCTTTATACCTTCGGGGTCATTTGCGAGGATTTCTGGGGTACAAATCTCAATGTCGAGGCGGTCCAACTTTGTACAAGACAGGAGGCAGGCAAGTTCGAGTGGGGTCTTATTCGGCGTTTGAGGTTCGTAGTGATCGAGAAGGATGTGGAGGCTGCGAAACAGGAGGTGTGGTTGGATTGTCTCACGCATTATCCACGTGTTTCTCTGATCTAAAACCATGTGAGGAAGCCAACGAGAGGACAGAATGAACGTGTTGTTCTGAGAAACGGGTAAGAGTCCCGTCCATTGACACATCTGACGGGACTGTATCTACCTGATAGAACACTTCACAGGCCTCTCGAGCGATCTGCTTGTTGGTGCAGATGTCATAGAGCAAGGGCATTGCCCCGTGAATGGGGTTGTATTCCGTGGCAAAATTGTATCCGCCGTCCACTTCTACGATGAAAAGCGAATCGGAGCTGGTAAGCAATCTCGAAAGAATGGCTGTTCGCTCGGACAATGGCAGGTTGCAAAACTCCGTTGGTGTCCATTTGCGCCTGAAATCAGCGCAAGACTGCGGGTTGATGTCCTCTGCTTTTACGGTTGAACTGGTCAAACCCCACTGTGCCTTCTTCGGTGGCATGATGATATCGTGCGGTTCATCAGAATCTTGTTTGTTGACCATGGATATATGTCTGAGCCTCGGGGTTGTAGCACACGGAATGAACAAGTGTTGTGGGCAAAGAGTATTGTGAGATGAGATTCGACGGGACTTTCACAACTTTCGAGGATCCTAACGCTTTACTTTTCATGCTATCGCTTTACACCTCCTTTCCAATCCTTCATATGCTCAACAATGATCTTAGCAGCGCGCTCAGCGCTATGCTGTCGACCTATAGCTTCAACGAAATCGCCTTCTGGGTCTGTAATTCCATTAGCTACACAACGATCATGTGAGAAACCGGTCTTACCCATTAAATAGAAATAAATACTATGATCTACCAGGTAATCCATCCCCGGTTTCACACCCTCTGGCGTACTGAAATACACTCTATATTTCTTACACACATCCTTGACTTGTTCCCATGTCCCCGTCAAGCCTACAAGACCTGGATGGAATTCCGCCAGATAATGCTTCAAAACAGCAGGCGTGTCTCGGGCCGGGTCACAAGTAATAAAGAGCGGTAGAAGAGGAGCTTTGCGTGACGATGGATCGACGAAGGAGTTGGCGCCGATGCGGTTTTGCGTGGTAGAGGCAACCAGATCGATCATGTTGGCCATTTTGTCAAGCTCTTCAGGGCAAATATCTGGGCAGTGGGAGAAGCCGAAGTAGACCTAAAGATGAACATCGATCAGACGAGTCCTCCCGTAGAGGCGGTTAGAGACACTCACCAAACTATAACCCCCTTTCATATCCTCATCTGTGAATGTCTTTCCCTCCTGATCCAGTAACGCAAATTTTCCCCCAACTTTCGGTCTCCCTACCCCTTTTGCAGCTTCAGCCACCCTTTGCCGTTCCAATCGTGCCTTTTCATTTCTGAAATAGAAAGTTATTGCGACGCCGGCAGCAAGGAAGGCGACAGCTCCCCAGGCGGAGAAGGGCTGTTGTAGATTGAATCAGCATCTGGGGCCTGCCAATGGGCATTTGGTAAGGCTTACGCCGGAGCGTGCACGAGCTTTAGCTTGCTGGATAGTTTTGATTGCAGCGCGGCGTGGAGCGGTACTAAATGGACGAGAGCGTAATCTGAAAGATTGTTTATTACCGGGACTTGGGATTGGTCGCCACGGACCAGGTTCTCGAAGGCAGCGGGCAACAGAGGATGTTGTATGGCGAGCAGTGTCTACTACAGTCGAGTTTGAGAGATGAAATGCCCTTGGGCACAGGGAGGACATTGTAGAGACCTGCATTGGTGAATCGAAGATTTACGGGTTTTTGGAGACAATTTAGAGATGAGATCCCATTCAGGCTAGCGCGGGTTTCTTTTCATATCGAGCATACTATGACTCACATACATCATTACGAGTAGACTCATGAGTACTCCGTATGGTTGTGTACAAGGCTCAAGGGGAAAGTCTTGTTTATTCTAGTTGGCCTATGATGCACTACATTTTTTGTACAGACAAAGGTATATTCAACCCTTGTGACATGCCGTGAAACGTATTTCTCAAGAAGTGAACGCATAAAATCGCTCAAGATGATCACCTGAAGTAGCGCCTCCGCTTAGGTGCTACCAATGCGACCACTCAACGCCCTTCGAACATTAGTGTATGCAGGTAGAGAAGCAGCCAAAACGACATAGTCCATCAGCGCATGCCTCTGCTGTTTTGGCTAGCCCTGCTTGGTGTTGCACGGCTTCTCTCGTCCTCCTCTAGAACATCGCTGAGTCGCGTAGGATGATGATGTCGCGGCAGAGCCTCCCATCCTGCGCCGAACCCACTTCCGGAATAATCTGGCGTACTCGATTCTTGGCGACCTGGAGCGGCAGGGGGACCAGAACCATATTCAACGCCAGCAATCCCAGAGCCATAGCTTCGACCGTACATGCGCTCACGATCGAGCTGCTCCTGGACATCGTATTCATCGCTGTCTTCGGAGCCGGGGCCACGACGCGCGTGGATTGGACGACCGTGAGAGTCTCGTTGTATTTCACCGTTCTCATCAAGATCATAGTCCTCTTCACTAAGTGTATCACCCACAGATGGGACGTAAGAACGTTCATCACCTTCACTGACACGGGGCTGGTCTTGGAGAGAAGTGAAGTCGGGACCATGGAGCGAGGTTCCCTCGTGTTGATAGAAAGACGAGCTCCCAGCCTGTGTCGTGATGGGAGCAGATCCTTCAGGCCTGTAATTGAGATAGGTACCACTACTTGGCGCAGACGAAGCAGGCATTGTTCTTGTCTGAGAGTTAGGTTGTTGTGGGCCTGACGAGGTTGCTGTTCGGGCTGCTTGAACAGCAGCAGCTGACGTGTCCGAGGTCTGTTGGAAAGGCTGGGACGTCGCGTTTGCTTGTAATGGACGATCAGCCTCAGGGCGGACACCCTGAGGAAGGTTGACACGGCCGCCTTCGGTGAACGGGTCAGTGTCTGTCTCGGATCTGGCTGGATCATAGGTCGTATAGCCCGGCTCATCATCCGTTGGACTTTCAACCTGTGCCGATCGCGACGGAATAGAACCAGCGACAGGACCCTCTCTCGTAGGTGGCCTATTACTGCTCCCTCCCTGCACCATTGGCACAACGTGAACGCCACCTACCGAAGTGGCCTGCCCTTTCTTCAGTGACAGGGTGCGATCTCGCTCTTCTTGCTCTCTACGGCCAAGCTCCTCCCATGCTCGCCGGGCTTCTTCCTTGGCGATCGATAGTTCACGATTCTTTTCTCTGACAAGAATCTCTGCAGTCTTTCTCTGGGATATGGCTGCATCTCTTTCCTTCTGTATCCTCGAAAGATCAGCATGGGCGTTGGTGGCAGCGGAACGCTCTTCTTGTATCCGCTGCTCGAATTTGCTTTGATTTTCTCGAAAACGTTCTTGCTCGGCCCTGGTCTCAAAGAACCACCGCTGAAATTTGCGCTCCGAAGAAGCTCGAAGCCGCTGTAGTTCGACGACGGCGTGGAATAGATTAGCTCCAGCAGCAGATAGGTCAGTCACTTGACGCGCCATTTGTTGATTTAAAGGCTCTCGATCTAGATCATCTTTGTTTTGTTCTAGTCGATGAATCCAGAAGGAAGTCAGACCTTCCCAGTGCGAAGATAACGTTTCCCATCTTTCGAAGGCGTGAGGAAATGAGGACGTGGTGCTCCGTTGCTGAGAGCCGCTAGTCGAATCTTGTGCAGGTTGGGACTGGCCAGGTGGCACTGTTCCACGGTCCAATCGTAGCTGGGAAGTTCCTGCAGTCGCATTAATCGATGCGTTCTTGTATTCTTTCTGACCACTGGCCACTGCAGCTGCCGCAGAGACGGCACGAGGCGTTTGTCTGGGTTTGGCTTCAACAGGTCTTGGCTGTCCCGTCGAGAGTGTTGCTCCACGAGGTCTTGTCCTAGGCTGGGGAACACTACTCACGCCTGCGCCATCGTCTGGGGCGATCGCGGATGGCTTTTCGGAGCGACCGTTACTAGGCGCATAGACTGCGGGCTGGGTTGTTGAAGGTATGTTTGCCCTGGTACTGCCACCGCTTCCTCGGTCTCCCGACCTTCTCTCGCTTGTATCTTGTGGTGTGGGTTCGACGGTAGATCTCCTGACTGCTCCTCCTGATCTCCGATAGTTTGTCCCCTCACCACTTTGGGCAACGCCAGCAGCGGCAGCCACTCTATCTTGTTCCAACTGTTGCTCCGTTTGGATTCGTCGCTGTTCCTCCTCGTCTTGTTCTTTTTGCCGTCGGTCACTCTCAGCTTTCTTCCTGGCTTCTCGATCTCTACGCTCTCTCATGATGTCCGTCGGTGTACGAACACGATCATTACCGGCAAAAGGCACGGGTACAGCAGCGCGAGAGCCACCATTCTGTGAGCGCCCATTGCTCACCCCAGGAGCCGAATCGGACATTGACGCGTTCAACTCAACGTTGTCAGGTGTGAAGGGTTTAGATGTCCACCGTGGGCGTTTGTCACCTTCGATCAAGGGGTGCGAACCTTCGGGATCTGCGCGGACGGCTTCGAGGGCGTAGCGTATGGCGTTCGCTGTATGTTTCGAGACTCGGGTGGTTCTCTTGGGCCAGTAAGAAGAGAGAAGGCTTTGTGTGGAAGAAGCAGGAGTATTCGAGCCCCCGAGGCTTTGGCTGTAGGGCCTATCACGGGAGTACAGTGGTGCTGTAGGTTTAGCAAATCGTGCTGTTGAACTTTGATCTTCTCGCCCGCCGACGATCGGGGTCCGACTGCGCGTCTCAAATCGTGGAGTTCTTCTGAGAGTATGAGCGCTTCCTGATGAGCTCGAGGGCCGTGATTGAGGTTGTTGAGACAGTGGTTGCTGACGCTGCTGGCGTTGCGATGATGGGTTGGTGGATTCGTGAATTTCGTGGGCCTCGTCAGTCGTGAGCAGATTCGGTCGAGGCAGGGCAGCCAATCGAGGTGTAGGTGCAACAGAATTCGAAGACAAGTTGTGTATTTATCTTGAAGAGCTTAATTTTTGCTGGTAGGGACGAGCTTCGGCAGCATGCGCACAATAGGATCGCACGAGATGTCTAGGAATTTAGAGACAATGGTCTGATGGTGCGAACACTGCAGTTGGTTAGTAGATCGCAGATAATGAAGGGCGACCGAGATTTGGGCGTGGTGTTGAGATGGCTGGGGGGGCTGGGAGACAAGCGAGCGCAACGCTCGAGGTAATCCAAATCATGGGGAAGCTTACCACTGACCCGGACTGAAGCTGCAGTCGCCCGTGGGAGATTGTTTCGCATAGACAAGAGGAAGAACTCCAGGGCTTCGTTTGTTTTGTATCTTCCAGAAGAGTCTTGAATGTACGGTAAGCTGCTCATACCCTTGTCGACCACCACCCCACCGGCGCCTTCTGACGTACGGAGACAGGGCGATGCTATGTGAAAAGTCAATAGAATCTCAGACAATCATCTCCGAGTGTTTGAAGCAACAATGGAGGCCTTCAGTGACCGCAATGGCTCACTCAATCTCGGAAGCTCGAAGGTCTCGGAAGGTCAGCGCAGCCGGAAAAATCGAGCTGCATACTCTTGGCGGTGTTTGCGCCGGAGAAGCACGAGTTGCTGCGAGCTTCTCGGACCATTCAATTGGCCACAATGAAGTGTTTGATCTCCAGAGTTTTGGAGAAAACAGGTCATGATGGCGCACACTTCCCAGATCCACTTTTTGGTACGAATGCCAGCGCACAGCGCTAATCGTTATGTAGGTAAGACCCTGAGAGACACGGCCGATGGCTTGCTTTCTCGGTTCGAGGGGTTCTAGATTTAAAGGCTGAGCTGGTCCCTTCGGTAATATTCAACGTAACATCGCCTTTTATTAACGGCCGCATGGCGCGCATATTTTTCCATTGAACGTAAAAAGACTCAATCAATTCTACGGAGTTACAACATCCATTAAATAATAAATCACAATCGTTATTGTCTACTTCGATACGCAGCTCAATCATTGATACTCGAGACAGATTCTAAGACACCTCCCCACCAGTCCTGTCAATTACCTTCTGGGGTTGCATAGAGCTATTAGCATCCCCGTAGATTCGATATGCTATTCACGACGTCTTCTGATATAGTCAAGCATCCGAATATGATAGAATCTGCTCCAAAAGCCCAATCCGAGTTCTGCCAAACGGGTCGAGCACCGCTGACCCCCTTTCTTTGTGGAATTCACGGAGCTCTAATCATCAACATTAGGCCTATTTCCTAATTGTTTCCATATCTTTCGTGATACTCTTAGGACTCTAGCCAAAATCGGTCAAAGTTAGGACTATTCCTCCTTCCTTCGACGCCGGAGGATTCTGGTATTATCCCCGTTCAGCGCTATAGACCGATCTCCGAGCCTCGCATCTGCCTTGGTGTTCGAGTTTCTGTGCTGCTACTCTTACGCTTTTCTTTCAGATGTTTCTTGACGAGAGCGGCGTTATCTCGATATAAGACATGATCAAAGTCAACCTTAGTGACAAAATTTCACAGCTCGGTATTTTCCGTCTGGGTGGCTTAGCCCCCTTGCTTTATGTAAACACATCACGTCCCCATGGGGTTTTGCGGGGAACTTTGGAATGCGTTGTGGAGGGATCAGTGCTTACACCCATTGCTTTTTAAAATAGGACCTCGAATGAATCTTGCTTCATCTTCTCACTTATGGAAACGGGTCTTTCACCTGTCTGCGACTCCAGGCAATGCCCTGTCCCGTTGTACCTCGGAGCCAGGAGCCAATCATTCCCTCGGCGAGAACCTTGCGTTCTTGTTACAGATCAAGGCAATGACTTGATCGAGCGGCGTACCTGTTATAGCGAACACGTACCCCGTGCTCCACCACCATCACCTACAAAGCTCACTCCATTGACCTGTGCCGAACTTAACGAAGCTTGTCCATCCGCCTCTTGCGCTCTGCTTCTCGTCGACCGAAAGATCGAGGCACACCGGGCAAGGCTGTTACCAACAGAGCACAGAAAATCCCCAGGCTGGTACTCTCACGCCCTTATGAGTGATAGCGTTTCCGGGATGAAGCTCGAGACTTCCGATGAACAGATGCACAGAATGACTCCACTGCAACAGATCTCATCGGCATCTGACGATGACGATACAACAGTGACGAACTCGAGCTGTCCCTCGTCAAGAAGCAGCGGCACTAATACTCTTGTGAATGACCTTCCAGGCGACAGAGAAGTCGCTCCCCATTCCACAGCCATCGGCGTCCACTATCAGCGCAAAATAGCAACATATTCGCAGTTGGCAACCCAGCCTCCGTCTCCAAAGTCACCCACCTTCAGTCTTTTCAATCTACGATCTTCGAGGACTGCTATGGCAGACGCGCCAAGCAGGTTCCGTTCCCCTTCACAAAGTAGCGATTCCTTAGGACCTCGACCCACTGTCACCGGCAGCCAAAATTCTTCGCTAACACCGATTGGCTCAAGCGCCATTCCGGACATAGCAGGACTACCGCTGAAGTACAAGCAAAGCAAGACGAAGTCTTGGCCAGGCTCATGCAGCTCGCTTCCAGGACCGGACATTGTCAGCATGCCCAAGGTTACAACGAGGCCAAAATCGCGCGACTGCGACTTCGCTTATGCTTACTGTAGAGAACGCAAGGCAGAATGTGATGGTGTGATACCCAGCTGCCGGAAGTGCCTCTCGAGAAGCGAGACTTGCTCTTTCAACAAATACTCTACAAGTCTGCAACCTTTAGAAGAGCACGCGAGAGGAAAAGAAACGATGGACGAGCAACAGGCGGCGACAATGGAAGAGGAGCATTCTCATTTTTCTGATTACAGCACGGACGAGGATGATGACGGCGAGAAGGTACCATCGAACGCTCGGCTCTTCAATTCCCTAGGCAGGCTACACTCAAGGTCGAAACCCAGGTTGTCCTGGGGCAATTTATTCTCTAGGTCTTGATGGCACATACAGCCGGCATGGACTTCTGCGAATGTTCAGTTGGTCTCTTAAGTCCCAATGTTTGGACGAGTTTTTCTTTGGACCAAAAATTTGATGTAATTCGGGTCGATTCCATAGTGGAGGCTTTCTTTGATGGATTTGCACACATAGCTGCTGTTGTACTTGACGACTCTCCATGGTTTTGTTTAGGCGTTGATGGCGACGCTTAACCTCTCGAATCTTGTTCGAATGGATAGTTTTCGGTATCTACCTCTCGGCTCTATCGAGCAGATCCTCTTCAAGGCAAAAGTCAAGCCCCAGGACGCGGGCGACTCCAGCAATGAAGCAAGGGGCGACACTTAGGCCCAGTGCGTTTGAAATATGGTGTCGACTTGGCCGCATCATCGATGAACTCACCCCAACCCTGCCTCCTTGTCCATTCTTCCTTCTTCCCACTCCCTTCCCTCGAACCTTCCCACCTTTACCCCTGCGACCTTCATCTCCTGGTCTACTCTCTCTACCCAGCTCCTCACAAGCGGATGCGCATCAACCACATCCCGAAACGTAACCTCCTCTCCCTTTCCCTGAACCTGATACCTCCAGATCCCATCCTCACCCCACCACTCCCTCCCAAAAATCTTCTCAATGGCCAGATGCTCTCTCGCCTCCTTCACCAACTGCCCGAGTCCCTTCCTGTCCACACTCTCCTGCGAATGGGCAGCACATAATCCCTCTAACGCCCCAAGTATGTAACCCACACGCAGCCCGAAGACTGCGCCGAGGGAGTATCCTTCGTCGAAACCGGGCTGCAGGGACCGCTGTTTGGAAGCGGAGATTCCGGCCCGGTAGCCGGCTGTGGAGTGCGTGCTACGGAGGCGCGGGATATCTGAAGGATCGGCTGTGGTGGGAGAGGTGGGGGACGAGTCGGAGAAGATGTCCGAGAGGTTGTTGTTGATGGTGGGTGAGGAAGGAGAGGGTGGGGTGGAGGGAGGTGTGAGAGCCATAGTGTGATAGTATGGTAGATATCCTCTCATAAGAGTAGTGAGGTTGAAAAGAGCGTTGAGAAGCAGGGATGTCATTGGTTCGAGCTGTCATGGTATGGATCCTCATAGCAAGGGTACGACGGGAGGCCTAAGGTTGTCATCGTGATCCCTGCGATATGACTGAGCCACCACGTCAGAAAATCCCTGTGTCTTGCTTCTGAACGTTGTTTTGGATTGCACAGCTTTCTCAGAGTCAGAAAGCAAGAGCCACAGCGCCGCCGCAGTCAAGGCAAGGTGCCGTGATGAAGCCCGAGGTTGTCTGCGGCGCTACCAGGCGTCCCGTTGCTGTGCATGAAGCCCCCAATGCGGTCAGACTATGCCACCAGAGGTTGAGACAACCGTGCCTGGTTCAGAAAGTCTCCCTATTACTTGCATTCGTCCTATTTTCTAAGGCCCGAACAGCCGCTGACTGTCCAACACGTATTCTTTCCCCTCTGCGGCCCAGAGAAAGGTTTAAGCTATTTTGAGCCGTCAGCAGCTCAGCGTCCTACTTAAGCTTCCTCCACCTTCTCGTATTCTTCGTATCTTGTATATCGTGTCATTTCCTTCTCCAAACTTTTGAAAAGCTATTGGAATCACCATGGCTTCTCCCATTTACGACTCTAGGAAAGAGCTACTATCAGAAGCCCTCCACAAAGCTGAAAACGCCGTCTTCTTCGACGACCGTGGAAACTATGCTGATGCCATCCGGGCTTACGGCAATTCATGCGCGCTGTTAGGACAGGTGATGAGGACGACTCTTACGAGCGTGGATCGAGCTACGGTCGAAACCATCGTCAGTAGCTTTTTGAAAAGAACATGTGAATGTGTCTAATGATTTTGACGCAGCGGACCTCCTACATAAAGCGGATATACGAACTCCAAGGGAGCTTGGGACCCATGTCGCCCAGGTTCTGAAGTGGTAATGGCGCTCTTGCTGCCATCGGTGTCAAAAGAGGAGCTGGTTGACCTCCCAGGTCTCGGGATGGGAGCTCCTTCCTGCCCAATGTCTCGGGACCGGATCTCTACATCTCTCCTCGAGGAACGTCGATCAGTCATACATGTTCATTCTGATAAAACTGCTTCCCCTCAACATATTTCAACAGTTGTTCGGTCACTCATTCTTCAAGATGCCAACGCCAACGGACTCAATGCCCTTAAAGCATGCTGACGTTGGGCCTTTCCGTCCTCGAGCTCTATGCCCGCTCCCAAAAGATGGCACACCGAGTCATCCAGGTCTATTACCATTCCTACTGATAAGCCCACCCATGCCAGGCTGGATATCTTGAAGCAGGCGCCTAAGCAGTACGAACGAGGCCTCAAGGACCTACAGGAAGGACAAACGAGAGGATGAGTTCCGAGAACTACGAGCCAGCGAAGAGGCCTTGCAATGTCATTTGATGGCCCTTGAGAGCCAGATGGTCGAACTATGAGTGGAGTTCAAGAGACTCCGCAATGGCTCTCGCGTCTTTCGAGGGCTAGATCCCCTCAAAGGCTTCGCATTCTGCAAAACATGGGGACGATCGGTCGCTCAAACGAGAGCTTCAAAATTCCCAAGTTCTGATCGATCTGGAGGAAGATCTCCAGAAGATGGGCTATGCTCCTGCCATGGGAATGAGAGAAAATTTCGCTTCAACGCGAGAAAACCACGCGACCTTTTCGAGGAGACCAACGACACCACTGCCAAACTTAGCCAAGAGCGCCAACCGTTCAAATATGTCATACAGCAACTCAATAGACATCTAGCTGAATCTCAAGGCGAGCAAGCCAAGCCAAGGGCGGAAATCGGGCTTCTTCAAAAACGAAATACCACTTACTTGGACTTCTTGAAGAGGGATATTCCCCAACGCGAGACATTGTTGGCGGCTTTCAGAGGAGTGAAGGAGAAAGGTTGTTTGACGGCAGATGACATCCATGCAGTAGCTGCCTGGCAAGCTTATCCATTGGATACCTACCCATGAACAAAGACAAATCAATGGATCTAGCCATCGGGAGTGGTCAGAATGGTTTTGCGGAGCTGTGAAGACAAGGGCCACGGCGACTGGTTGTGGAGGTGGGCGGACGAGTTCTGATCGTCACAGCATCGGCGAGTCCACGAAGATAACGACAGAGAGTCTTGGCTCGACGGCGACTCGTGGTTCACTACCATCCAACAAACGCAGACGAGGCGGATCAGAAGCAGGAGACGAGCGGGACAACTTCCCCTTCGCTCCTCAACGAAGACGAATAGATTGAATAAGAGATGTACGAGGGGAAGAAGCCTCAAGTTCTAGCGGGTTGGCATTGACTGGGAGCTTGGTTTCATCTCTGTGCTAGAGATCTGGCAGAAAGGACGAACATGGGTTGTCAAGGTTCTCATCTGGAAGTCCAGATTTTGCTGAGAACCTGTATGGAATAGAGACAGCAATAGATGCAATGCAACGGCTATGATTGCTAGTTTCCATCTTTTTAGACCTGCCTGTGACATGCAGCCAATACTGGGAAAAAGTCCCCCATCCTTCAACACATTACAAACACCGAACCTTAGCGTAGTCCAAAACCTCGCTTAAAGAGAGTGACAGTCACTTGCGCACAACTAAATGTCGAACGTCCACTCTTTCCAAGGAACCTCGACCTTCCGTGCGATCCCAATAGCATATCAGTGCTCTCTCAAATGGCGTGTACACACGGGCTCTCACCTCGTATCTGTCAACATGCCGGGTGCTCAACCCTCGCGGCTGCTATGGCAGACAGCGATGCCTCAACGCTGGAATCTTCTGACTCCGAGGAGTCTGGCTCTTCTGAAGGGGACGAGGTAGAGATTGTTGTTGATAGTATGAAATCGACGAATCTTAGAGGAAATAACGGTATGTGATCGCTGGATATGTTTAATGCGTCTGGAACTTTCAAGGAGCCCTTCTGAACTTCTCATGTTTCACTGTCCTTTCATGCAAGAAGCCTAATGTTATTTGCGAACACTTTCCTTTGTTTGGAGAAGCATATATCTTGCAGTTCTCAGGTTCTAATCATCTTTAGAATTCACCTTTGCAGTTCCAAATCCGACAAAAGCGAAAATGGCTGAAGCCTGGGACTCTGATCGCTATTATCACGAGAGTCTGGTGTCGTCTACCGACTCTTCAGACGCAAAACACTTCAATGTCCATCGGGAAGAAATCCGGACAACGCCCCTCTTCTCAGCGGATGTGTTGGCAGGTGTCAACGAGACACAACCGGACGTGCTGCCCCAGTATGGCTTCCTCGCCAAAGTTCTGGACACATTCGGCGGCCAGGGTCAACAGAAAACGCATGACCTCCTGACTCCAGACTTGGGCATTTTCGGCGTTACGCTCAACCCCAACTCTCAGTCCTCCACGACGAGGAGGGGCGACAGCCGGCTGTTCGTCAATATGAATGCTCCATGGTCTGCCTTCATCTGCGGTTCTCAAGGGAGTGGGAAGAGTCATACCTTATCATGCATGCTAGAGGCCGCTCTGAAGCCTTCTAGGCTGGGAAAACTCCCACGCCCACTGGCTGGGATGGTCTTTCACTACGATAAGTTCACGGGATTCTCGGCAAGCCAAATCTGCGAAGCGGCCTACCTCGGCTCCACAGGCATCCCGGTGACGGTCCTGGTATCGCCAAGCAACCTCCATCGTATGCGGAGGGCCTATGAAAACATGCCAGGGTTACCTTCGAATGCACCCAAGCCGGTGGTGGCGCCATTGCTGCTCGAAGAGAAGCACCTAAACGTCGAGCGTATGATGAAGCTGATGGCTATTGACGAGAAAGAAGGAAAGGTTGCCCTATACATGGAGGTGAGTGATGGGATAGAGCCATGTCAGTGAGGTGCCACCAACGTCGTACTGACACTTGGACAGAGCGTATGCAGAATTCTTAGGACGATGGCCATGAACAACCAGCACACCGCAGGTCTGAACTACAAGGAGTTCAAAGACAGACTCCAATTGGAGAATTTCAACGACGGCCAACGAGCGATGCTATACACACGTCTTCAGCTCTTGGAGAGTTTCATGCTCCCGCCAGGAGTATCAGGAAGCGGCTCAATATCACAGGTCAGACCTGATTATGCGAACACAAAGAAAGGAAACGCCCAGAGACTTGAATGGCAGAACAAGGATGATGCACGACAGAGGGCGAAGATTGCGAAAGCAGGCATCTGGTCTTTCCAAGCTGGGAGCCTGACTATTGTCGACCTGAGTTGTCCGTTCGTCGATGAGAGCGCGGCATGTGCTATGTTCAACATTTGCCTTGCCCTCTTCCTGGAAGACAGACAAGAAGCTGGACGGATTGTGGCGCTCGACGAGGCTCACAAAGTAAGGGATTTTCTGTACGCCGAGCGAGATACATGGCACTGACCGGTTCTAGTTCATGACTGGGACGGATTCAAGCTCAGCCTTCACCGAGAGTCTCCTATCGGTGATCCGCCAACAGCGCCATTTAGCCACACGAGTCATCATCGCGACCCAAGAGCCAACGATATCCCCGAGCCTTCTGGATCTAAGTTCGATGACAATAGTGCACCGCTTTACCTCCCCAGCGTGGCTTGTGACGCTCAAATCCCATCTTGCCGCCGTGTCCAGCGAAGGCGAGGCGTCCAAACGACAGGACATTCTCAAGCAGATTGTGGAACTCGGTGCCGGTCAAGCCTTGGTCTTTTCACCTTCAGCCATGCTAGGGGTGGATGATCAGGACGGCAATGGGAGTCCAAGGATGCAGAAGCTGGGGACTCAGTACATCAAGGTGCGTGTCAGACAGAGAATGACCGTGGACGGAGGAAAGAGCATCCTCGCGACTTAGGCCCGATATCTTCCTGTGTCCTCTGGACTGCTGATTGGGTAGCTGGCAACTGCACACTTTCGAGATGGATGTTTGATTCAGATCAAAAGCACCTTCTTTCATGTTAGAGGTTGGATAGGTTCTGCTAGATAGTGTGAAGTGTGAATAGATAGGTAGCCATGAGTCCGGTTACATCTTTTCTGCCAGAGCCACAAACACTATTTGCGGAATACATTCGGGTCGTGCCCAGCCTATCCACGTCCTTCTCGTCTTGATAGTGTGTCGCTTCGCCTTTTTGCCTTCTTCATCTCAAAAATCTAGACCGCCATAGTCCAGATCGCGGAGAAAGAGTGGAGTGCAGATCTGCGGTTACGTAAGCCTAGAGCAATGCAATTCCGTGGAGATGGCTCCTTCTGACGTCACAGCTATGCGTCGACGACATCATAGCCGGCTGAGGTCTTTGCGGGTGGTGTGCAAAAGGAAAACACTAGACAATTGACTGCATATAATCCACGCTCTCCCTTTTGTCCAACCAATGTGTCTTTGACTTTACAGCGCCTGTTATTCAGTATTCTCCTACATACACATTTCCACACGCTCAAAATGCCTACCACCAAGCGCTGCGGCACCGAAACCGCCGGTAACAAAGCCATCGGCGGCGTCCCAAGAATCCATTACTTCGATTTTCAGTCCCGAGGCCGGGGCCAGGTTATTCGCCTCATGTGGGAAGATGCCGGCATCGCCTACGATGACACGCGCTACAGCTTTGAAGAATACCCTGATTACAAGAAGACTCGCATTATGGAGATGAACCCGACGACCAAAATCCCCGTCGTTGAGTTGAATGGGAGAATCCTGACGCAGAGCTATGCCATCCTCAGGCATTTTGCTAGAAAGCTGGGGCACTATGATGGGGAGACCGAAGAAGAAAAGTACTGGGCTGATGCTATGTGCGATATCGTCATCGACTGTACGTGACATTAAGTCTGTTACGAGGAAAATCTCTTAATAAGATTAGGGCGCTTCGTCTTCATCCAAGCTTTCTTTGCGGACAACATGGAAGAGACCTATCCTGAGCATCAAAAGACCGCTCGACCGAGATTCCTGAAAGCTTTGGAGACGCATCTGAAGACACATGATCTATCCACATCCGGGCCGTATATCATTGGTAAAAACATCACATATGCGGATATGGTGCTCTACCAGATCTGCCACGATGAGAATTTGACACAGGAGGGGAGAAAGGGGCTGAAGGATTACCCTAGGTTGGCGGAGCTGGTGGATGCAGTGGAGGCGAGGCCAAAGGTCAAGGCCTTTTTGCAGAGTGATAGGTATCTAGGTTGATACGAATCGATCTGAATAACCGCTTCTTGTGGAATCTGCGGGGTCAGCATTTGTGCGCGGATACCATCTCATGGTGAGGTTAGGGAATGACGGTCCACGATACTGAGCGGATGCCGCTGAGCCTGGGGAAGGAGCTTGGCCGAGCGGGTCTGCCGATGCTGAGGATCCACAAGATCCGAATGTTCCGAATGTTCCCGCTCGTTGAGAACCGGCGCTGCAGGAATGATAGTCGTATATCTCTTGAACCCAAGGCGGGAGCTCGGCAAATCTCTCTTTCGTTCATCGGAGGAGAAGGTTATCTCTCGAACGCGTCTTCATCGACCTGATGCGGTATTGACTGACACATCTTAGGTCAGTGAGTGGGTCAGCCTGGGTGCTGCCAATGCTGAAGCCGACTTGACTACGCCTGACATCAGACCGTTGAAGAGTGCATATTGAGAGCTAGATGCCCATTTCACTCTGCGCTCATATGTTGTTGGTTACTTATTGTCAGCCGCTGATACTATCATTTGCAGTGCACTACGTGGGAATTAGGCCGCAAGTTCCATGATCAAGCGAAGCAAGAAAAACATTTGTCCATGGTTCAACTTTATCAATCGATGGATCGTCACTGGCGTGGCAGATTTCAATGCTTTAGCACACCGGAAGCGCTCCCTAGCAAGTGCAGAGGGTGGTAATTATAACATCGGTCTCAGTCATGTGAAAGGCGGAGTAGTGACTCGGTTTCCACCAGAGCCGTCGGGCTTCCTCCGCGTTGGTCATGCAAAAGCCGCCTTGCTCAATGATTTCCTCGCGCATGGGAAAGGCAATTGGAACCTGATCTGCCCTTTCGATGTTACCAACTCATCAGAAGAATCACAGAAGTTCGAGGATTCTATTGTTGATGATTTATAGATGATGAAGATTTATTCCAATAGAATATCGCACTCAAGCGACTTCTTCCCGCAAACGTACGAGTATTGCATTCAACTATTGCGCAAAGGGAAAGTCTACGCCGACGATACCCAAAAAAAAGGTTATGAGTAATGAAAGAAGGATCGGAATCGAGAGCAAGCGTCGTGGACCAAGTGCGATAGAGAGCCTTGCTCGATTCGAGGGAATGAGGGCAGGATCTAAAGAGGGTACCCGATGGTGCTTCCGCGCGAGAATCTCCATTGATAATATTAACAAAGTCCTACGAGACCCTATTATCTATTGCTGTAATATCCAGCCTCATCATAGGACTGGCAGTACTTGGAGGGCCTATCCGGCCTACGATTTCTGTGCCCTTATCTTGGACTCCATCGAGGGTGTGACTCAGATCACCCTAATGAATTGGGGCAATGCGATTGTGCGAAAGATACACAGGACCATGAATCCCTCGAAGAGGGCGATGACTAACTGGGAGTTAGACCTCTACTTGCAAGTCGACTTCAAAAAAACTAGGAAGCAAATCACGTGGTTGGCCCGAGAGCCCCAAGAGGAAGACCTCGTGCCGGTCCATCTGATCATTTGTGGCTACCTCATTACGAAGACAAAGTTGAGAAATTCGACAATATCGAGAATCTCCTAACACCGCAGACGGAAATTTCGCCACTCTCGTGGTGGGCGAGACATTATTCAGTTCGAGTGCAAAGAGTATTTCAGAGTGGACCAGCTTTTGTTGGATGATAAGCCCGCAGTCTTGTTTGAGATTCCCACGGGTAAGATGAAATAGTCCACAATATTCAAAAGCTCGCAGTGACGCTTTGAAGCAAAAGAGAGGATATGACAGGCTTCCAAGAAGATGCCAAGTCCAGTCTCTACCGACTACTATCTACTATAAACGCCTACCCTTGAACAGCAAAATGTACCCCTTAAAGTCAAGCACGTTGCTTTATGCTATATACCGCTAGCGAAAGGCTTCCCCGGCAGTCGCACCTGCTGTCTTTTCGAGTCCTCTGTACAGTAACGGCATGGTTTAGAGGAAAGCGTTTACTTTCTTTCGATCTATCTAGTCACAATCTATCCAACTTCAAGTTGAGTGACGAGTAGGATGGATGAATCATTCTGTCTTAGGGACCCCCCATGGGCCATGTTTTATACTTCATACAATAGAGGTAGTTGATCCAGTACGTGACTTGGAGGAGGCTGGGAACCTTGGTTCGACAGTGCGTTTCACAATCTCGCATACTTACAATGTACTATGATGGGTATTCGGAGAGTGTAGAGGGAGCTGCAACTATGCTCGATGAAGCCGAGGGAAAGAGAAACACAAAAAACCCCCCGTCTTATATAAAAATCCATCACCTTTCTTTAAAAAAAAGGACCCACCCCATTGATCCTGCTTAGGGGCAAGAGAATGCAAAAAAAATGCACTCACGGCGGGGCTCGAACCCGCAGCCTCCAGATGTCAAGATAGAAGTCTGATGCGCTACCACTGTGGAATGATCAGTTAACTAATTGGCCGAGCGAAGGGTTCAGTGAAAACTAACTTGCGCCACGCGAGCTGGGAATATCTATTAATAGAGTAGTCCTAAATCAATATATATTAATGAACACAGGAGCCAGTGAGTCAAATTGAGCCGATCTTGCGTATATCTTCAATTGTGCTCGATAGCAAAATAAGTAAACGAGGAACCGCCGCTAGCAGCCGTGCCTTCAAGAAACCCAGACATCACAACGTTGTCGTCAAAGGTGTACATAATTTCAAGAGATCTGGCGGAAAAACAATGACCCTAGACCGGTTGGTCAGGCGTAACTGGGGGCGTAACCTCGGTCTGAACGCGCCTGCAGGGGAAATACAACCATGGGAGCTCACAACGCCAACGATTGAGGACTTTGTAGTTATCGCAATTGCCTGCTCAAGTAAAACACCAAAGGCTTAGATGCCATAGCAATTGGAACATCAGTGGAAGGGATCACTCTCTCACCACCGCAGCTGGTTGAGGAAACCATTCTCCGCGTCAATTTCCGCGGCGTAGGGCTGGTTTTCCGCCGTCACATTTCCACTCCTCGACCACTGACCGCGACGCATACATACATACATACATACATACATACATACACACCTTGACGCCTCCATTGCGACTCACGACAACTCTCATGGCACTCCTCCAGCGCCCACCCCTACCGCCAATGTCCAGCCCAGAAACCCCACGACCCCCCTCCTCCTCCACCCGCACGCGCAACCAACTCAACATCTTCCTAACCGGCGCCGCCCTCCTCACCCTCTCCTCGCTCCTGACACGTCGCTCCCTCCACCTCCGCCGACGATCCATCATCCCCCGCTTCTACCACCCCTCCAACCAACACCCGTCTTTGAAGATCGACGGCCGGTTGGAAGCCTACCAAGCGCTCGGGATTGCAACGGTCAATGTTGCGAGTTTTTTCACCATGGCGGGAGGGGGTTTGCTGTGGGCGTTTGATATCGGCAGCGTGGAGGATATCGGGAGGAGGGTTGGGGGCGGGAGGGGAGGAGGTGGGAAATGGAGGGGGAGGGGAGAGAGGGGGGAGGATGAGGAGGAGTTTGAGAAGTGGGTTGCTTCGTTGACGGGGAGGCAGACGGCGGAGGAGAGGAGGTGGAGTGCTCGAGGACCTGAGGAGGAGGAGCGGGCGAGGGAGGAGGGGTATGCGGTGGTGGAGCCGCGGGGTATGAATGAGAGGGGAAAGCCAAGATGATGGTGGGTTTCCCGTTGACCTACATCGAGGCCTTGAAGACTTCGGCTTGTCTTGCATGGGATCTGCCTATGGCAATCCTGTCGTCAGTCAATCTTTCGCTCGTCTCCCAGGTTTCTCACGACCTGGATGACTGAATTGATCTCTGCATCTGTTCGACTGCTCCAGGTCATTGAGTTCCCGATTTGATTTCACTGCGTTGCATGGTCCGCAACGCAGCCTGGAAGGCTTTGCAAGAACAGCCTCTTTAATTAGAGTCATCACGATAACATACCATCCAAGCAAGCCATTTTTGGCGGAACGAGAACCTGTTGTCACCGGGTTTTTTGGGGCAAGACCTATCAGGATCAGTCACAGGATAGGGCTGTAGGACGTCACGTATTGCATCTGCTTCGAAACACGGATGGGGGCCGCTCTGATGGTCATCATTGTCAGGATCGGGATAATGAATGGGGAGCTCATGGTTGGGGAGGCATGACTGCTCGTCGACATCAGGGCAGCCATGGTCATGAGCTTGAGGCGCTGCTGCTGCTATTTGGGTTAGCAGGAGGGCGAAAAACAGAAAGAAGCCCTTTGCTACGGCCATTCCGTGACGAACGAGGAGGGAGAGGGAATACGGAGATACACGCTGAGGAGTCACGCTGAAGGCAGATGCACATATGAAAGGCTCGGTTAGATGTCCCTTGCAGGGGGTCGAGAAAGACGATAGCACTGGTACATTTCTGAATGCTTGAGTAGACAGGAGCCCAGAGCAGTAGCACATATCGAGCGCACAAACGTTGAAGCTAGTGTCTTGCGCACCCGTCTTTTCTACAAATTGTATCTCAGCCTCGTCGTCACTTTCGACAACTGGACAATTGAAGTGTAAGGAAATGGTATCTCTAGCAAATGCACGCGATGGTATCGTAGGTACCAACCGAGACAGCGAAGGCCGTAACGCCGTGATCTCATCAAGAAGAAAATGTGTGGAGCATCGAGCCACTGCAAGCACCATCACCGCCGCCGCCGCCGTTGGGGAACCATCGTTGGTGGTCCTGCTCGTAGGAGTACCCCGTATGATCGTAACCGTCGTACTGTATGGCTTCCATGTCAGTCCCAAAGAACATGTCATTAAAAGGCCCGGAAGCCGAGGTCGTTGGTACCTGGCAATAGGAGAGGACTTGATCGTAAGCCGAGAAAACTGGCTGGTGGAACGGTGCTGAGCTCGCGTAGCCATGTTGCGGAAGGAACATGCTCGATGAAGCCGGTCCCTGTGTGGAATGGGTGCATTGCATACCCTGCATCTGATCCGCTGCATGTCCTTGGTGATCTGAGACGCCTCCGTAGGTTGAAGCTTCAGCCGGGTTTCTTCCAACCTTCGAGGCAACTTTGCGCAACATGTCATCGCACAGGGACCAAGCCCGCCTCGCCGCTTCATTCTCTGACAAACCCCGTAGCCAATCTGTTGCCTTCTTTGCCGAGTCGAAAATCTCGTCAACCTCGTTGGGCATATGATCCGAACGAAAGGAGAGTTCAAGCATCAAAATAGTGGCGGCCTGCATGAGATAATGCACTAGACACCACCAAGGAGCGACTGTATATAGACCAACTGGATTCGGCTCCTGGGGCAACATCTCCAACATATCTCGCGCCGCGTGTACGCTTTTAATAGCAGTCTCGCGGTTGAAATCTTTAGCTTTGTCTGATTGATTGGGGATACTTCGGTCGACCCGACACAGACAGGGCCGGTTGATGATTGCCAAGATGCTGTAATAAAAGAAACCGAGGCTCATTCGCTCACGAACAAATTGTTGGTCTCGTTGCTTTTTGGTGAAATCAAATACATTGGGCAGGTTGCCACGCCAGTCCTCGATTTTCGAGTTCAGGGACGCAATAGTGTTTTGGACATCAGCCCAGGACTTTGACATGGCATCAGCACGGTAAAGGCGGTTCAGGACAACGTTGCTAAAGGTGCTCAACTTCGTGTGGTATCCGAAGTAAAGTGCGTTAGTGGTAGGTATTGCTTGCTTCCGCTCTTGCGACGATGGCAGCGATAATGGTGACATTGAATCAGCTGGAGAATTTTTGGACTTTAACGAGTAGCTAATTGAGGACGGCGGGGTCGTTGTGCCATCAGTCTGTCGCGATTCTTCACTAGACATGCGCCGGAGCAGCGCGATATCCTGGGGACTGGGCGCATTATTTCCTACGAAGGAATCTTCTTCGAGAGGGAGCGGCGCCGGTGCAGTACAGTCGGTCTCCGAGAAAGATGTGGTACGTCCGGTCATGACGGCCAGTATACGTTCAAGACTGCACACTGCCCACCAAACACGGTATCGGATCTCTTTTGAGGTTTCCGGAACATCCTTGCTATCGTTTCGTAGGTTGAGGCCTAGGGTGGCAGCGTGCCTGATAGCGATGCCACTAGTTGACCAGGACCTATAGGCGGTGTCAGACGGAAATTGTCTCATTAAGTTGAGGCTACGACTTACCTATTAATCTGGTTCAAGGCCATCAGATAGAAAGACATGAGACCCGTAATCTGTACTTTCTGCAACTCAGCGTGGCCTAGTATGGCCTCCGAATTGAAGCCGAGTATCCGAGCACGAGTGAAGTAGACCAGGTGATCTGTTTGGTCGCCATTCCACTCGGCTTGGATGAGATGGGAGTATTTAGCACCGATGGCGAAAATCAGATTTAGGATGGCCAGCCAATTCTGGTTGATTTTTGATTGATCCTCCTTGAGTTGGAATGCTTGGTACTGGCTGATGAAAGTACTCTTTCCAATAATTGGGAACGCAGGATGAACGGTTTCCAGATAGCTTTGAAACAGCATATTCGCCGTTGCCTGTGATGGCATTTCGAACGGGTCGACGTGATGAGGAGGAGTCAAGGTCAAGTCATCGCAATGGTAGGTTGATTCACTAATCGGAGTAAGATCTGAACCGAAAATCTCGTTATGAAGAGCTGGCGATGACTGTCCACTGGGCAATGAGCCTTCATCGTCGTGCTCCTGCTCCTCAGAATCTTGTCCGGTCTGTCGCTTGAGCCGTTGCATCCAAGTCACTTCCGAGTTCTTGCCATGGTATCCTGTGGCACGAGCGGCGGGGTTTCGGTTGTAGTCTTCGTCAATGCAATCTAAGGATTCGGTAGAACCAGCTCGAGCGCTGGCTTTGAACTCCCCAGCCGGCTCTCGGTGCACACCTGACTTTTTGCTATGTGGGGTTGCTGATTCATCATCGTCCTCCGGAGATAGCTCCTGGAGGGGTCAGCCGGAATGCCTATCATGCAGTCTCAGCATTTTACTCTGTCCAAGGTCCTTCGGATCAAGGCTTGGTCTTCAAATCCAGCACGCAAGCTGAGCTCTTCGAGAAGCTGCTCGTACTCTTCGACCCTGCCGACCAGACTACCAAGTTGTCTATGGTCACAGATGTCAACCAGGAAACACTTCTTTTCAACAAGTACTCACTTTTTGGTTTTATCGCGTTTGCCATCCGCATACATGCACGTGAGCTTGAAGTCTTCGCAGTGCTGGCAAACCGGACGTTCTCCACTGCACTTTGTCTTCCTTTGCCTGCATGGCTCACATGCGTGAGCGACACGATTTTTGTCCGCTGATGCAGATCCTTTGGAGAGACACATTTCTTCGCTATTGCGACGTAGGCGAGGTATGGCTACCTTGGGCGGATTCTGTGATTGCGCACTGCCCTGGTGGGATGGAGCAGCGGTGGGGAGGGCAGCGGTCGGTGCGTAAGGTGAAGGCTGTGGTTGAGACGGCTCTGGTTGCTGGCCTGTTATGTTGGTGAGGGATACCGAGGCTGGCGGCTTGCCGGCCTGCTTGGAACCTGCCCGCTTCATCTTTTCTCGGGTGACCATTCTTTGGGCGGCCCCTCGCGGAAAGTGTAGAGACGGTCTTCGATAATTCTAGCAGCAATGTAACAGTGCTTTCCAAACATACAAGCAAAAATTTCCTCTGTTAATCGTGATGTTGTGTATGGCGGCGTATGGAGCGTGACGGGCTCTGGGGGAGTAGTGACGAAGATGGAGATAATTTGGCGCAATTCATGGCGGGCTCGGGCGATAATTGGGAGGTGTGCGCAGTGTCCTGTGATCTTAGGAGGGTTAATATCAGCACGGCACTGCGAAGACTCTAGCTGAGAAGGATAGGTGGCAGATGTAGAGTGGTGAAGGAGGAAAAGTTGACGTGCCACGAATGCGTTGACACGATGACCAAGCAGACTTTTGCCATTGAACCCTGGGCATGGAAATGTTTGAATTGCTCGTTTACATACCTACTCTGATTCTGGTGTCCGAATAAAAGATGATCCCCACTATGTCGATAGTGCAGCGACGCTTTCTCTTAAGTCTAGCCAGGTGAAGGTGGGATGTGGGAGGCGGGACGAAAGGGACGAGAAAGACGAGGGAATGAGATCGCCTAAAGGCAAGAGCACGACGGACATGTTTGCAGCCCATGCTAGCGCCGCAGCGAGACTTTCTTCGATTCAATGACATGCGATGCCTAGGTAAGGTAGAGATTGTGGTAAACATTCGGACACAGCAACAGGTTTGCGACTCCTGGCGGAATTATGCAAGTACGACGACCGGCTTGCTTCTAAAGTTCTTGGAGTACAATGTACATTCTTAAAGTCAACTACCTATTAATTATTGCGTAGCCGGTGCAGCCAGTGCAGCCAGTGCAGCCAATGTCGAATCCGAGCAGAGAGATCGCTGATGAGATGGCACGATGGATCATGGATGTGATGGCTGAACGTAACGCTAAACTAACCGCCACACCTTTCTCCTGGTGCCACCAAGACCCTGACCGGGCGAACCTCCGATGAATCGTACGGCATTTGGAGATGGCGACAAGTACCCTGACTCGCTTGGCTGCTGAAGCTTCATTTGAATTGCATCACCTGTCCAGCACAAGGCAGTCCGTCTCTGCCTTGTCTACTCCACCTCTGCAATTCCAACCCAAATACGAGGCGCTTCGCTTTGTCAAGATTTCAGAAACAAGAAAGAGGCCATGGGTAAGATTACTTTTAAAGTACGTTCGAGTACCCAGGTACTTAGAAGAGGATGTAGAATTTCTATAGAATGAGATACCCCTCCAAGCCAAGCAAGCTATACTCTATATGGTTAGCCAATCAGTCGAAAATCTCCTGCTATCTTCTATCTCTCCCAGTGTGCCAATGTCCTGCTTAAACGCTCAGACCGTTGAAGGTTTTTCTTATGGACGCGATTTGCCGCCAAGTCCGTAGAACACAAACATGTAATTTGTCCACTGAATTCTTCCAACTTATACCCCTTCCTTATATTCCCGAATCTCGCTCTAGATGAATGTTGGATGGCCCTAGTTGACAAGTCTTGCGGAGATTGAGCGTTGAGCTTGTCCATTCTGCTTTCTGTAGTGCAACATTGCTTCCACCCCCCAGAATCTTACACGATGGGAGCTCTAGACGCCGTATCGTCCTCCCTGCCACCTCCAGAGAAGAATTACTTCGACCAAAACCCACCCCCAGAGACTCTTGACTTTCACGGCAAGCTTGCAAAAGCCTTCATCTCTCACCACCTCCAATCCAACAGGGCTGTGGTGCTGGTGACCTCGGGCGGAACAACGGTGCCTCTTGAGAATCAGACCGTGAGATTCATTGACAACTTCTCCGCTGGTACCCGTGGGGCCACATCCGCGGAGTGTTTCCTAGACGCTGGCTATGCTGTTATTTTCCTTCACCGGCAATTCTCTCTACTGCCATATTCGAGGCATTATAGCCATTCTACGAATTGTTTCCTAGACTATATGATAGAGGGGGAGAACAGCGAGGTCGTAGTGAATCCAGAATATCAGAAAAAGATGCTAGGCGTCTTGCGTGAATACAACGCAGCGAGGCGGAACAACACTCTGCTGCTGATCTCCTTTACAACAGTGACAGAGTATCTATGGGAGCTCAGAAAGATTTCGATGTTGATGAGACCTCTGGGACCGAAGGCGCTCTTTTACTTGGCCGCAGCAGTCTCAGATTTCTTCCTACCAAGAGACCGGCTTTCCGAGCACAAAATTCAGTCGTCGGAGACAAACAGAGCTGGTGGAGCGGCAGAACCAGGGCCATCCGGCAATGCAGATACCTTCCAAGGGAAACAGCTCATTATTAACTTGGATCCAGTCCCTAAATTCTTGAAGAGCCTGGTCGACGGCTGGGCACCCGAGGGCATGATCATCAGTTTCAAGCTTGAGACCGATCCGTCTCTGCTGGTGTCCAAAGCTCAACAAGCGCTGGAGAAGTACTCCCATCATCTTGTCATTGGCAATCTCTTGTCGACGAGGAAATTTGAGGTGGTCTTTGTTGCGCCCGGAAAAGAAGAGCGGTGGATCAGAGTGCCCGTCCATAGAAGGGTCAAAAGCGTCTCCGGAGTTAGACCCACCATCGATGCGGTGAACAATGGAGATATACCAGAACAAGAATGGATGAACGGGGATTTAGAGCAGGAAATTGAATCACTCATTGTACCTGAAGTCGCCAAAATGCATCGATTATTCACCCAGAGGTCGCAGCAGCACAAAGAAGAGGATGAAGATGATCTATTAGCAAAAGCACTCGCGTGGGCAGAGTTTGGCAACGCAGATTGAGGATGCTCCATACATGGACCAGACTATGACTATGTAAGGCTAGGCGCTATCACGGTGATTTCTGTGCCCTGCGGAGCCGGCAAATAATTACGGAGTGGCAAGTTCAAATGGGCAAATACGAGGGTACAATACCATGGCGAAGGTCCTACAGAATGCCACGCAGGTTTCAAGGCACTCTCCAGCAGCTAGACACCAATGCAAGGAGAAAGCCTGATTGAAGACATGAAGAGACTGGATTGGGTTGAGTAACGACGACTCATCTGGCCCGGTTGACATCAACGATGGTCAGGACCAAGAAATCGCAAAGGACGCTCTGGGTTTTACTGACAAGGTTTTGTATCCTGGCTCTAATCTTTGAGCTGGAATGACATCCCCTCTGCTGAGCCAATGGATTGTGGCTCTCGCTCCATCTCTTTCTCGGTTTGCTGTCTTCAACAGTCACCCACAGATCGAAAAACGGGCTTTTTTGGATGGGCATTGCGTTTCATTGCCATGCCAACCCATGTCTATGTTGGAAATTCAACGTGGCCTTCAGTCCTGAGATGTTTGGGTTGAGACTTTGGCTCAAACCCTGGGAGCTTGACATGTAGTAAATGACCCCTACTCTTGCTGAACATCTCGAATTGTTAAAAGTAGATTGCTGCTGATGGCGCCCTTCCAATTTCCCATGTATCATACTTGTCATTCTCCATCCTTCCCAGTACACGTATGGATCCCTTTCTTGCGTTTGACCATCGTCTGTGTCAACTATTGGATAGCTCATAACGCAATACCTAGCTCAGAGAAAGACGAGGAAATCAACAACAGCGTAAAGTCATGAACTTCAAAACGATTCCTTGGCGGTCCGCTCGGCTACTCAGCCCTACGGCGATCATAAACTCCCACACAAAATCAGGAACTCAACCTGAACCTCGATCCAAGGACAGCTACAATTCCACGACCGCAATTATGGCTGCCCTCAATAAGATCGCATCAACGAGCCCTTCGAGGCAAACGCCTTCTGAGCTCGAGACCGGCATCGCAAACGCCCTTTATGACCTGGAGTCAAATATTCCGGACATGAAGACCGCGCTGAGGCCTCTGCAGTTCGTTTCTGCTCGTGAGGTAAGAATTCCTTCAAACACGATCTCTGCCCGATACAGCAGTGTCTCTCCGATGCTGAGCTCGCCCAATCTATCTGAGCTCTGAATCTGGAGTCGTACATTGACCGTACAACCCATCCGAACTGGCGAGGCCGCAAGCTAACGAAACCTCTCCTCAACCCACAGCTCGAAGTGGGCCACGGCAAGAAAGCCATCGTCATCTTCGTCCCCGTGCCCCTCCTCCCCGGCTTCCACAAAGTCCAGCAACGGTACCTCTCTCCATCCCCTCATCCCCACTACCCCAAATCCACCCTACCAACCACCACTGACCCCCCCCCCTCCTCCTTTCCAGCCTCACACGCGAACTCGAAAAGAAGTTTTCCGACCGCCACGTCCTCTTCCTCGCCTCGCGCCGCATCCTCCCCCGCCCCAAACGGTCCAACCGCTCGCGCACCTCGCAGACCCAAAAACGCCCCCACAGCCGTACCTTGACCGCCGTGCACGATGCCATCCTGAGCGATGTGGTGTACCCGGTCGAGATTGTGGGGAAGCGGACTCGGACGAGGGAGGATGGGAGTAAGGTGTTGAAGGTGGTGTTGGATGAGAAGGAGAGGGGTGGGGTGGATTACAGGCTCGATACGTATGCGGAGGTGTATCGGAAGTTGACGGGGAAGGGGGTCGGGTTCGAGTTCCCGTTGGGAGGGCCTGCTGAGTACTAGGGAAGTGTGGCCGAGGAGACAGGTGTGGAAGCTCGCTATACTTCAGCTTTCGGTGAAGAGACTGGCATGGCAGATCAAACTCCAGCAGAAGGTGCACTAGGTGAAAATGGATCAGAATCTTGCAATGTGTAAAAATTCCTCCTTTCGGGTATCTCAAGCCACGTCTGGCTCCGCTAGGATGATGCTGCTTCGAGCTTCCCTACCCTCCCAACACCAAGAACAGTCCAGTATGCTAGTTCTCTCTTCTCCTTCTTCTCGCCCTTTGCCTCATCTTTCCCTTCCCGTTCCAAATCAGCCTCCCATTCCATTCTCACAAACATGGGTATTTCGAGCACATCTATATCGTCTTCCAATTCCTCACTCTCCGCAATAGCTGCACAAGCGACCTCGACCACAACGCTTGTCCAGTTCCTCCCTTTCTCCCAGACCTTACCAGCCTCGGCTATCCTTCCACCCTCACCTCCCGCATACTCAACTTTCGAAATGCTAAAGAGCTTACTGGATCTTCGGCTCTTACCATCACCGAGGGCCTCGTCCCACTGGTCTACGTTGGAGCCAATGTCAAACTCTGGGCAGAGAACGGTCACTTTGTGGGTATACTGCCCAGGAGTTTGTACAGGTGTTGCAAGGGTGACTTTGACAGCGTCAAAGAGAGGGTTCTTGAGAGTGACCAGAAATTGGCTTGGTCGCAGTGGCGTCAACGCTTTGAGATCAATCAGAGGTAGCTCGGCAGAAGGTGATGGCTGTAATGGCTTAAGTGATATGGTTGGAATGTAATTCAAGGCTACAAGCCTGATCTTGAAGCGTGTACTTTGGACCTTCTGTTCTGGCCTCACGAGCAAGTGCCGGCAAGCCCGACAGCGTTTGCTGCGTTTCGTGCGGAGGAGGGGGCCCATTGGACGTAGGTCATCGACGAACCGAGACACATGACGCTGTTCGGCTTGTTGAGCTACGCTCGCAATTCCTGTCCAGCCTTCGGTACGTAGCTTTTTTACAGCTTCGTCATCAGAAGCAGGATACACAATCCTGAGTCCTTCTGAAATTTCGGCAGTTTCTCGCATGAGGGTGGATTTTCCCGTATCCTTCTTGCCAAAGGAGCGGCCAGTATAGAGGCTCATGATACGTGCAAGACTGCTCGGAGAGCTATAATTGTAACCTCCGGAGGGAGTGAGAAGTGGGTCCGAAGGATTGGAAGCTGACAGCTGAGAGGAGTAGAAAGATCTAACTGCAGCGAACGCGGCGTCAGGATCGTTGTCCAGCGCAGACAAAGACGTTGACTCAGTCTCGGATGAAGGTCCAGATCCCACAGATTTGGCGAAGTCCGTAGGCATTACGCGAGTAGACCTGGGCCGTCCTCCAACCTTGAGCTTGGCCATCTGTTGGTGCATGTTCTTGTTGCTTTCGAACCGCCAGCCAATGTCAAGGGTCGACCAATTGCAGTACCCGCAGCTCAGGATCCAAGGTTCGCTGACCGCTCTTTCCTCTGGATCTGGATTAATGAAACTGGTAGCCAATGGAGATGTGCAGATGGGGCAATCAAAGCAATTTCTTGAACATCTGCAATCCAATCAGCTCTCTATGCCGTCAATACAGATGGAGACAGTCACGGCTTACCTACCTAGATCCTTCGCTCTTTACCACGCTCAGTGGCATCTCGAAGAGGCAGCTTGGGCAGTACCAACACACTATCTCCTCTATCGTGCAACGTGGACATCTTATCTGCTGGCAATCTTCACAGTATAGAAGATGCTCAAGGGGGTAGAGGGAGAAGCCCGCTCGCGGCGACCTGGGGTCGAACATCCGTTCTTGCTCCTCTTCATCATCTTGAATTTGTATACCTGCATTAACGGGTGTAGAGACATCATTGCAGGGGCAGCTGATGTATGTGTATGGGAAATTCATCGTTATAGAATGGCTAGCATAGCCACTGCTTTGGACAACCAAATGTAAACATCGCAAAGTGATATGAAGCCGAGCGGAGCGTTTCCGCTGCCAAAGCATCCTCTGCGCTTGCCTACGGCCCACTCTCCCCACTCTCGCCGTTCTCTCCAAAGTCTACAGCCGTAGCTCAGGATCCCTTCAAGCAGCCCCTCCACCCTCCTCCCTAGCTATCATGGCAACAATGAACTGGCGCACCATAAACGTTGACCTCTTCGACCCCGAGTCCCCCGCAAACTTCGACATATCCTCCCTCTTGCCCTCCATTCCTTCAGTCTCAGCTTCAGAGGTGCAAACATTGTCAAGCCAAATCAAGCAACTGTTACGAGGGGGAGATTCGGAGGGTGCATTAAGGGGGGCTTTGGAGAATGCGCCGTACGGAGGGGACGCGCAGGCGAAGGTGAGCAACCCACCCGCCCTCCCCCCCAAATTTGATGGAATCAGGTGTAGTGGAGGAGAACAGAAATCACGGATACGAGAGAGTGCATTTAAAATTGGAGCACATTGCTGATTAGTAGGACAGGATGTACATCTAGCAACGGTAGTGGAAACGCTGCAATCGATCAAACAATCCGACATGTCGCCCATGCTCAGCAGGATGTACGGCTCAGAAGGTGGTCCTGAAACTCTGGATGTTCTTATGAAGTACTTGTATGCCGTCCTCTCTCCGACGCCCCGATCCTTTTCAATCCCTCCGCTGACGTATACCTCCGCCCCTTAGATACAAGGGAATGGCGCACACCTCGCAGCCTAGCTCTGGACGGTCATCTATGACACCCCAAGCAACTGGTGGGTTTTCACAAATACAATCAAGGGGGGGAGGAGAGGGAGGTGGACAAGCGATGAGCGTGCTGCTTAGCTGGCATGAGAAATTGGTGGAGATCGCGGGAGCAGGGTCAATCGTACGGGTCATGACGGATCGGAGGACAGTGTGAGGATACCAGAAGGATTAAAACCCTCCGGGTTACTCTATTGGGAATTTCAACCCGCCCGAAGCTGCCTGCGCCTGTGAAAAACCACAGTGCCAGTGCTCTCACGGTCTCAGCGGCAACGGTAGTAGCTTACGACTGTACAGCGTAGCTGTATGCACCAAGCCTCAGACTACGACTTCTTCTCTCCAGGCGCCTCCAAGATCTCCTTGATATTAAGCTGCCCTGTCCCCCTCTCCAACGGCTTCGGCTGGTTCTCCCCCTCCGTCCACCCAATCATGTAGATAATCCTGAAAGTCGCCGGCACCGTCTCCCCTCCCTCCGCATGCAGCTCTCTGTAGACTGCCTCTGCCGCCGCCATCACGTCTCTCCTCAGTCCTCCCGGCTCCCTAGTCAGCGCCGCATTGCTCTCTCCCATCGCCTGCAGATCCGTCATCAGGGCGAAAATGTTCGGATAGTCGACGATGATGTCGTCAACGTCGACCGTTAGCATTTTGAACCCAGCCTTTGTAAGTAAGCCGCCGATGTCACGGACGTCAGCGAGGGGAGAGACGTGAGTGGAGACACCGCCGCGGAGTGCGAGGTCGGCGAGTTGGAGAGAGGTGCGAAGTTCGAAGAGGGAGTCACCGCCCAACATGGCGGCCAGGAAAGGGGAGTCTGGTTTTAGGACGCGGTTTATTTGGGAGAGCATGCCGGGTAGATCATTGACCCAATGGAGGGAGAGGGAGGAGAGGACGGCATTGAACGATCGAAGCTTGAAGGGGAGCGGCTGGTCTGGTGGGCCAAGTGTGGTGCGTGTGTGAGACGGGAGGAGCGAGTTGAATGGGAGGGAAGCGTCCCGGTGGAGGAGGGTCGGCGACGAGTCCGCCGACGTGAGATGTGACAGCCTGGTGGAGAGGGGTGGAGAATCTGGGACAGGAACAGTGAGAGCGTGGCCTATGTTACAGGCATTGGCGCCGAGATCAAGAACGCTGGGGAAATGGCGTTTGATATCCTAGCAATAGCTGTAAGTTCGTACCTCTCGTGGAACGTTGGGGAAGGAAAATTACAAGTAAACGCTCGCAGAGTCTGGAAGCCACTTCATCTCGAAGATAGTCGACTTTCCGGCTGCTTTCTACATCCGCGGCCGCTCGTTCTCGTTGTAGGTGCTTGGTATTGTCGTTGAAGACTTGGAGGATTGGCGCTCCTGGTGCTTGCCTTGCATAATGCCGGCTGGAAGAAATTCGCCGCCGGCGAATAGCGGGTCTCGGGAGGAATGGCCTCAAAGAGGCAGGTTTCATATTGGAGCTACTTGTGAGGGCCAGGGACGTCGTGAAGTTCCATCAGGCCTTCACATCATAATCCGATGATTCCTCATTGCATCATGAAGCTTTTGCCAAGGCGGCGGTATCTCCGTGGCTAAATGCACTTTACCCCTATATTCTTAATCATTGGGAAACAAAAAAGTTCCCGCAAGCACCCCCCTCTCGAAAATTGAAAAATGAAACTTCTAGAATAACTTTATAACGATAAATTATAATTTTCTAAAAACTTTATAACTATTAGAAGATGTAATAAAGATTACGATTTTTAATTTTTAGAATATTATATTTATCTACTGTATAGTAAAATAAAAATCTATTAAATTTTTAAGATTTTTTCGATAAGTCTTGGCGATTATAGAATAGCCGAGGTAAGTTTTCAACGTAAAACGTATATTCTTAATTTATACTGTATCTTACGATATCTAAATTAAAAACTTCTAAAATTCTTAAAATTAATTATTTAGTATTATAAGAAAAGATTATAAAAATTGTAGATTATAAAGACTGGTGGTTGTAAAGATATTCAAGAAATTTCAATTTTTGGTTTTCGAGGGGGGGTGCTTGCGGGAACTTTTCTGTTTCCCAATGATTAAGAATATAGGGGTAAAGCCTTTTTGCCTTTTTGCCCAAATAACTGCATAATAGAGAGGAACGCGAGCTCAAGCCGAGAATTTCTGCGACGCTTATTGTTCAACTTGATGCTGTCAATGTAAGAAACTCCTTGATCCTGTATTGCTAAGCATGGAAGAACCTGCGACGATTGTCAACCCTCTACCGCTACAAATCAAGAGGCTTGTTTCATCTTCAATCCTCATCACACATTAGAAATGCTCAAGGTTATGGCTTAGATATAGAGTACCAAAAAGACTCATGGTCATGGCTTAGATCAACCTGCAGCACATTCATCAGCCTCTAGCGCAATGAAGTGAATACCTATCTTGATGTCCGTGGATGAGCATGCAGGAGTCTCGGTTACAGTCCCAGTGAGAGAGATTAAAAATGTAACGAGCTCTCCGTACTCTGTACGACTATCGTGGATTCCAAAAGCCTCTTCTAAGAAAAAGAGAAGTGAAAGCACAAGATCAGAGGATTCATCTCTGATCTTGTGCTTTCACTTCCCGCGATTGGGCCAATGATGTTTACGGCTTTCGCAATCTTCAATGAGGCTGTACAAAAGCTATTTGGTTTAAGAAGAATGATGATGAATGAGTAATCCCATAGCACAATGCTGACAGTTGGAAGCGATTAGATAGCAAGACTCCAGCCTTGCTCGGGGTTCCCCATGAGTCAGTCAGCAAAACTCCAATCAGTCAGCGGAAGGATGCAGATTTAGGTAACGAGGGGAGGGGGGATTTTCTTCCCCTTAAAGATCTGAGGTTCTGTAGATCAGTCTGGTTATGCATTATGCACACGTGGCTGCCATGTGTGTGACGGTTGGGGGCCGGGAACCTTCCGCAACGCCTGATTGGCAGTCTGGCAGTCTGGCACATCTTACGCCGCGACGTCGCAGCAGCCGACCCTGCGCAGTAGACAACTAGACGTTGCATAATGAACGGGCGGCACAGACTGTACTCTGTCTGCAGGGTCGACGGTAATTGAGCCTTGCAGATTGCAACGCCCTGTTTCATGTGCTGACCATTTCCCGGTAGAACTTGCTGCACAAACATCTTCGGTACACAGACACTTCGGAATTGTGATACCGGTCCATTTACGGATTTGTGGGGTGCGATAGGTCAGAGCAGAAACCTTTAGACGGTCCTCAACGTCCGAGACAGGGTTAAGATTGAGATCTGATGTATCAAAAACGCCGGCGCCTCGGGGGAGTCTGATGCCAAGACGGCAGTTCTCCTTTCTCGACAGCCATCCGCCCGGAAAGCCACATGGAGGCAGCGAAGAACCAGGGATCATCCTGTCATTTCATTTTCTCTTCGGACTCCTTCGTGCGTGGCTTGGGTGCGCAAAGCAGACTTGAGAGTGAAAGAGGACGCGTAAAGCGGATTAGTGAACGCTTGGGTTGCGCATTCTCGTAGCCGCAACGATGAGCCTCTTCCGGGCGTATCCAGCAAAAGGATGATAGCGCACGGGGTTACAGAAATGGACAGAATGAAGAAGAAGGTAGATGATGGAGGAATGGCCCACACGTTGAAAGCCAAGATGTCATCAGCCTACGGGCACAGTAGTCAAGTGGTCAGCATAGCTTGTGGCTTTCGTTTATTTGGAGACCAGCGGTTCCACCACATGGTAAAATGCAACCAAGCCGTTCCCGTAGACGCATCCTTGTTCTAGCGGCCTTCTAGATACATGATCGTTTACCCAGGAGGTCGGTACGGACTACGGACGATACAGCCACAGCCTAGGACGTATGGGATGATAGATAACGGATTGCTGATGAGTGCAATCTTGGGGGAGAAGCCGAGAGGGTCATTGATTCCATCCGAGCCGCGTTGCGCACACACCTCGGAAAAGGATTTTGGAATTAATAATACTAATTGCTTTGATGTACCTATAGAGAGTAGTGAAAGGAAATAGAAAGCGGTAGAAAAAGAATGTGTCACACAGTAGTAGTATCACTTCGTATTGCTTTTGCGGTCGGCTCACATCGATGGATGATTATGCGGGAATTGTTATTTTCGTCTCTCGACGCACATGGCGCGCGCCCAGGCCTCGGGCCCAGTAGCTAAGGTAAGTATGGTTTTTGTTCTTTGCGGAGATGGTGTCAGCACAGAAGGGATATTTGATGGCTAATGTACCTATTATGACTCTGCCATGACTCAATTATGTTTCTGGTTCGAATCTGACAATTTTTATCGTAGTGTCAGTCAGCATTATTCAGGCAGCAGAAGGCGAGAGTGATACCTACTTTACGGGAATAGTGTCACAAGATACCTTAGCTGGGGTGAGCTAATTTAGTTTTCGATACCTCATTATCTCGGGGGGCAGTGGGCACCAGGGAAAGGGTGTGTGACAGATAGACTTTCAGCCAACCTACCGGGAACGCTTCCGTCATCTAGTCCCTTCATTTAGTGGCTTACCAACTTTCCTACTGATGCAGGAACGAGCCCTAAGGCAGGGATCATTTGCGACCCGAGGAAAAAAAAGGGAAAAATCAAAAATCAAAAAAAAAAAATCAGACTTCCTGCGCCCAAAGCTGAGAAGATGATTATTTCGTAGGCATCAGCCATAGCTCGTAAAAGAAAATTCAAAAAAAACCAAAATACCAAAATACCCAATCGCTAGATCCTTGGAGCCCGTTTACTAGTTTCGTGCCCTTCGTGCCCTTCGTGCCGTAGGCATCTTGAAACCGGCCGCAGACCCCTGTAGAAAAGATGATGTTACCTAGGTGTCAAGTCGCTAATTCGATTCAAGTCCCAGAAGTACAGCCAATCCAATCTCTGCGTCATCTTGCATCTCCTTCCTCCAATTGGTACTTGGATTGTAGACAACCACACAGACCAACCGGACGCAAAAGTTGCCCTTTACTCTCATTCATGTCTCAAAGAGGCATCTGAACTCTGTCCAATATCCATCACATTGGGCATCAAGGTCTCGCTTGCTTCAAGGGGTGCCGGCATTACACAAATTACATATCCGCTCACAAACTCTTCCTGTCATTTTCGACTCCCCCACTCTCTTTCACCTTGCATAAGTCTTTCTCTTGCTGGCAATTGATATAACACCGCCCGGACCTCCTACACCACCCAAGCTCCGTCTCACCATTGCGAGAAACAGAAATTCCAAAAGTACAACCTGACAAACCACAAGATTACTCAAGCTGGCTTCTATTCCCAGAGGAGTCCATACCCTCATTTCTCGACAATCTGAACGGCGGACACTATTACACCACCACAATCCTGAGCTTGACAAAGAAAAGGCATCTTTCGGAATCGGAGACGGATCTTACCTGCATGCACAGTTACATCGTAAACGATTGTAAACAGTGTCGACTCAGCTCTCATTACGAGTAGTTGCAGGAACGGACACAGCCCAGTCTATTTGTGAGTCAGGTCAGCAACCGGCGCCGTCTATGTCTAGATTCCCTATATAATACAATTCCCCCATGCCTTGTTTCATTTCTTCAGACCAACAACCACAGCTAACGCTCATACCGCAAAGACACTCAGAACGCTTTCATGATCTTCAGAGCAATCGACGCACCAATGAATATGGGACGAGGCGCATACGATACCACCGGCGTGCCAAAGCCAAAGCCACCACCAAAACCTCGATAAGTCAAAGTATGGCCTTCCAAGGTCGTGAGGGTACACTGCTGTCATTTCGCCCACTCGACAACAATCTCTGCAACCTGCCGTCTTTTCGCAAGCAGCCTGGCAGTGTACCTCATTGGACCTTGGAAGTGGAAGGAATGGATCCCCAGCGAGGTACGTACTACTTAGGCCACCGTCACCCTTACTGCCTAGCCCTGCACGAACCCTGCTAACGTACGTACCGCACAGGCTCATCATTCATCCGCACCATCCGCAATCAGCCATCTGTTTCTTCGATTCTCAGCCACTACCACTCGTTTCCTCCTTTTATTCCGGTTTCCAGCGTCCGCATTTCGCACCATAAATTGTACCATCATCACCAGCGACATTCGCCCTTGCTCGAGCGTTGTACCACCACCAATCGTTCTAGCGATACCCAGCGATTGAGCGAACTTCGGGCACTTTTCTCGACCCTTACCACAGCCACGAATTCCCTTGCATCATCAGTACATTCGCTATCCAAAAAATCATTTCCCGGAGTTCGCTTATAGAAAGAGCATGGAATTAGGGAGATACCACACATAGATCATTCGACTTCACAGTCACTGCATTCAGGGGGAAAACACTGTATCATATTCAACATAGCGTTTCTTTTTTTTTTCTCCCTTTTTCGGTGGAAGGAACAGCTTGAGGTTGGCATCGCTTGAGGGTTTCGGGGCATTGTCTACGCTGCAGCGAGACAGGCGGGGGCATGGCGGTCTGGTACCAAGGAACTGGCGATGACTGTACATTAGGTTCGGCGCTGCACTCATAGATTTCTCTCGCTCATGCAATTACTTTAAATTTTCACGATACAAACCTTTCTGTGTTTTGTCGATGCGAGAGTGAGATATGATGCATGGGAAAAAAATCCTCATTATGTAGTTGATTGGCCCCACTATCCCCTCTACCCCAGAGCTCCGGATCTCCCATGGCAATTCACAGAATCAAGTACCGATCGATAGACAGATTTATCTCAACCATTAAATCCGTAGGATTCGTGGAGTGGCGCTAAACCAGGTTTGGCACGCATCGTCATCTTCACGGGGGTAGGAGACTACGAGAACTACGAGTACAGCAGGCATCGACAAATCTCATTCCTACAAAAGCAAGTCCAACCAGTCAAACCCCACCAATCGGTCAGTCCCACGCGATTCCGCGACACCGGTGTGAAAAGAGAAAGAAAAAAAAGAGAGAGAAAAAAGAGAATTTTACTCAGCCTTCTCGACACTATTCTAGTAGGATAGTAGTGCTCACTCCTTCTGCTCGACTGTCACATCTGCCACATCCCTAATACGTGTGAAACCATCCTGCGCTAAGTCCGGCTCTCTCTTGATTTCTCAGCCGCGGACAACTCCGTCTCCTCGTGCTGGCAAAACCGGCCACTACGCCCTCCCATTCGTGTACCTGCATACATCTCCTACAGTCATGGCAGACACGGCCGCTGCGCCACCGAAGCCTAGCAGCAGTGTCAAACTTGTGCTGCTGGGCGAGGCGGCCGTTGGGAAGGTATGAGTCTTTTGTTTGCCTTATCCTCGCCTGCTTTTATACTACGGCAGTACCGAGGTGGATACCAGCTAATGGACCTGCTGCGCTTTACAGTCATCCCTCGTCCTCCGCTTCGTCAATAATGATTTCCAAGAAAACAAAGAGCCTACCATCGGTGGTACGTGGTACATCCATATGTCCTGTGGCACTGGCATCTGGCCTCAGGCTCTCCTCCTGAGACTCCTTCTTCCATGTCACACCCTACAATCCACTCGATTTCAATAAATCCCCGCACTTGCATTTGATCAGCCAAGCTGACGCTCCCATCTCAAGCTGCCTTTCTAACCCAAAAATCCCATCTCCCCCACCGCACTATAAAGTTCGAAATATGGGACACAGCCGGACAAGAGCGCTTCGCCTCGCTTGCTCCCATGTACTACCGCAACGCCCAATCCGCCCTGGTTGTATACGATCTCACTAAACCCACCTCTCTCGTGAAAGCGAAACACTGGGTCGCCGAACTACAGCGGCAGGCGAGCCCCGGCATCGTGATCGCCTTAGTGGGTAATAAGCTGGACCTTACGAACGAGGACGCCACGGTTTCGCGGGAAGCGAATTCTGGTGAAGGAGCTGACGCCGTGGGCGGAGAGGTGGCTGAGGAGGGCGGCGATGCGAGGAAGATTAGTACGAAGGAGGGGAGGGAATATGCGGAGGAAGAGGGACTACTGTTCTTTGAGACGAGTGCGAAGACAGGGGTGAGTGTTCAAGAGGTGTTTACGGCTATTGCGAACGCGATTCCGGAGACGCAGATGAAAGGTGCGAAAGGCCCTGGAGCTACGGGTGCTGGCACGGGACAAACAGCTCTGGGCTCGGAGAGAGTCAATCTGAACCAGAGAGCGGAAGGGGCGAAGGAGGGATGCGCTTGTTAAATGACTTGGCTTGCTGGAAGACGACCACGCAGAAGGGATGCATTGGAGTGTTTGGAGGAGTCGTGGAGTAAGTGTGGAATATCACGATGGCACTTGTCCGCTTTTCTATTCTGTCTGTACCAAGTGTAACATCCGAGATCTTTCATTCCCCATTGCGGTATACTCTTTCCTAGTTCAAGATTGGAACGAGACAATTTCATGCAGTTTCCTGTTGTCCTTCTTCCTTCTACCGCGCTAGATAAGGAGTTTCTGCGACCTCGGTGTACGTCCCACCTTGCCAGCTTGCAATCATCGATCTTCATCACCCTTTTTTCGAAGAACAGAGACATCGACCAATCCCCATCCACCTCTTTTTTGTCCTGACCAGGCAATCACTTCTCTCCTCTTCTCTTTGCACGTCGCAAAACACACATATCTCCCATCATGCCCCGTCCTTTTCCAACCGAGAGCTCCAAACACCGCTGTTCTGTCACCATCCACTCCACCTCATCCCACCGATCAGCGAGCACTTCGCAATGATGGTCATAGTCCCATTCCCGCCAACAAAAGGACCACGGAATATGGCGACTTCCCTTTCCATCTCCTTCCCCTTTTCCCCTTCGGCATCAGGCTGCAGCTGGCGAAAGACCTGTCCGAAATAAACCCGTTTGTCCTCTCTCTCTCTCTCTCTCTCTCTCTCTCTCCCTCTGTGTAATTAACCAACCACGGACCCCCCACCCCTTCTTCCTCGCCTCAGCCAGCAGCGATCTCCTCGACAAGCTAACCGCTACCATCGAACAGATCCCCTCCCCCAAAACAAACCCGGCCTCCGCGGCCTCCCCTCAGACGAAACTACCATACCATACCATACCAAACCTCCCCCAACCCCCAACCACCAACCCCCTCCCCTACACCCCCTCGGCCACTGACAAAAAAGGCATCCGATGCGAAGAAAGAAAGCCAGCAGCGCAGCGCAGCGCCATCGCCCTCCCCCTCCCCGCTCGCTCCACGTGGCAAGCGACCAAACGAACGATCGATCGATCGGTACATAGATTCCTTCCTTCCTTCCTTCCTTCCTTCCTTCCTTCCTTATACATCTCTGTCGCCCCGGACGGGGCATCCGGCCCCATTTCCCGGCGGGCCTTGTGAGTGGTGGCGTGCGGCCGCCTGGACGATGGTGCCTCTGCTGTGATTGATTCAATTTGGTGTGGTTTGGTGTGGTGTGGTGTGGTGTGTTTGGGGAAGGGATCGGAGTTGGGGGTTTTGGGGGTTTTGCTGTTGGGCGGAAGGGAACGGGAGGGAATGGGATGGGATGGGATGGGATGGGATGGGATGGGATGGGATGGGATGGAGAAGGGGGGTTGGGTTCGGGGGGGGAGATCGTGGTGGGGTACTGGTACTGGGTGGGTCCGGGGGCCTTTTTTTTTTCTTTCTCTCTCTGTTGTTGGATGATGAGGGTGACAAGGTGTTGGATCACCGTAGTTACTCTAGGATGAGACTGGCTGATATGGCGGGACGAGTGCGGCGAAGTTCGCGTTCGACGGTGAACCGTGCTTCCATGGCTGCTGGAGAAGTGGTCCCTTGCGTGTGGATAGGATAGCTGAACAGGTCCGGGTATCACAGGACACTCACGGGGATTACATCTAAAAGACCATGGAGTGTTCGTGAAGGTTGAATAGTGCTTGTTATACCGATGTATTTGATATAGTTTTTTCTTATTCACAGGCCTGAGTCAGTGGTGAGCTGCACCTAGCACTAGGCATCTATCAATCTATATATATACCCAATGCTTCGAAGGCTCAACCGAGATGATGCTTCATAATATACTACCCACCAGCGCCAACGCTATGAAGCTATTTACAACTTTCTGATCCTTCCATTTCATACATTCATGTCATCCGAAAGGAGACTCACTCATGCGGTCGTAAGTGTGATAGGTGGAGGTTGCAGCGGCAGCTCCGACGGCGTCACGGGAGAGGTTGGTGACGAGAACTTTCCCATGTTGATCCCGAGCCCAGATTCCTCGTCTGGACATGCGGTGTCGTCTGTGGCCCCCGTTTTGCGTACGACTTTTGATGTTGTCCGTTGCATGAAGCGCTTCGTGACTCGCCATGCTTGAGCGACAGGTCTGAAAAAAACCTTCAAGCCCTTGAGGACCGGGCTCGCAAGCGCAAGCCAGACCTTGTTGACAAAGCAGAATACTGCTGCGGCATACCGGTCGGGTATGTACCGTAGGACTATGGCCCACAAAAGGCATGGCAGCGCACATAGAATGCAGATAACCCACTGCGTGCCGTCTATCCTCTTGATCTGAAAAGCCGCGCCACCAACGAAGATAATCATAATCTGACCAGCGACCATGATAATATTAATAATGATAAAGAAAGCGTTGCGGTGAACGCCTTCGAAGATATTCAGCTTGTTGTCGAGGCGGCGGTTGTTGAATTCATTAAAAATCTGCATCCAGACAAAAGTGTTGAACACTATTGTGTCCAGCTCGGTCTGGAGGAGAGTGTCGCTCTTCGAGTATCCCAGAATCGAAGAGCCGGCGAAATAGAGAACGAACGTAACGAGTAATTGATATATCGCTTGGCCAATGATCATCTTCCACATATTAGTCGTAATCAGCGGCGCAGACTTGGGAGTGGGTTTGCGGTTCAGGATTTTCTCCGTTGGGGCATCCGTTGCGAGAGCAAGAGCGGCGAACGTATCCATAATAAGGTTCACCCACAAGAGCTGAACGGCGGAGAGGACGGAGTGCATGTCTGGGGATGATACAGCGGAGACGAAGGCCAGGACCACAGCTGTGATGTTGACGGTAATCTGGAATTGTAAGAATTTGGCAACCGCGTCGTTGACTGAACGGCCCCACATGATGGCTTTGATGATGCTGGAAAAGTTGTCATCCATAAGAATGATGGCACTGGCTTCTTTGGCAACCTCTGTGCCGGCTATACCCATGGAAAAGCCGACATCTGCAGTCTTCAGAGCTGGTCCGTCGTTCGTGCCATCGCCAGTGACAGCTACAGTCTCACCGAGCTCCTTGAGACGCGCGACCAGGAGGCGTTTGTCCTCCGGAGAAGAACGGGCAAGGACTTCAAGCCGGGGTATGGCTTCATCCATCTGCTCGTCAGACATCTGGCGAAATCTAGGTCCCTCCAGGACTAGCCCGTCAGGTGTTTTGATACCGCACTCCAGAGCAATTGCGCTGGCTGTCATTACGTTGTCTCCAGTAACCATTCGAACCTTGACTCCAGCGTCTTGGCATTGCTTCACTGCCTTTGCGACACCGTCTCTCAAAGGATCCTGGATGCCAACGATAGCAAGGAGTGTCATATCGCAGAATACGTCTTCGAACAGAGCGACTTTTCTGTCCTCATCCAAGGTACGGGCACCAAGTGGCGGCCACTGTTGGAAATCCTTGTAGAGCATAGCAATGGTCCGTAGTGATTTCTTAGCGAATTCATCTATGCTCGCAGAAACTTGGGCTCTGGAAGAGTCTGTGAGAGTGCATTGATGAAGAGCTTCTCCCGCTGTATCGACCAGTTCTGAGGTCGCTTTTTCCAGAAGTATCTCAGCAGCGCCTTTAACCAGTAGGCGGTAAGTGCCCGACGCAAGTCGAATCACCACGCCCATGCACTTGCGATCCGAGTCGAAAGGTATGAGCTGCACAACCTCAACGCCGTGTCGCTCTTCAGCCACTGGTCCCATTCCGAGTTGCTCTTTAGCCATTATGAGCAGTGCAGTCTCTGTCTTGGAGCCAATGAAAGTACTTTTTCCGTCCTCCTCTCCCTCAAAAGCGGTAGAGTTGATGGCACATGACTGCAGAATGAGTGTTCTTACAATCGACGACAGTCGCTTGAACGCGGCGGGAAATGGAATGACATTGCGTTCTGCGTCCCCAAGATTTACTTCTCTGGCGAACTCGACTTTTGAACCCATGATACCAGCGACCACTGTCATCTTGTTCTGTGTGAGCGTACCTGTCTTGTCTGAGCAGATCGTTGTAGCATTGCCCATGGTCTCGCAAGCCCGCAGATGGCGTACCAGATTTTTCTCCTGGAGCATCTTTTTGGTAGCGAACGACAACGCAAGCGTGACCGCCACAGGAAGGCCCTCTGGAACCGCCACGACGATGATCGTGATAGCAACGATGAGTATATCTAAGAATTTCGAGCCTTTCATAGCAGGAGTACTAGTATCCCCAGAAAGTCCGGCAAGAAACCGAATGAGCAGAATGAAAAAAAGAAGTCCAGCTGCTGCGGTCCCTAGGTATCCAATCCAATTGGCCATCTTCGCAAGTTTAATTTGTAACGGGGTTTCTTCGTCCCCGGTCTGCGACCCGATCATGACTTTACCAAAACTGCTGTTGACACCGACCGAGGTGACCAGGTACGTTCCAACACCTTCAAGAACTTTGCTGCCGGAGATGACAAATGGATCCAGCTTCGATGTGGCAGTTCCTTCTTCGATGCGGTTCCAGACTTCCTGTCCCCCAGTCTTCCTCATTGCGTCTGATTCTCCCGTAGCTGAAGACTCGTCGCATCTGATGCCATGACCATTAATTAGAATGCCGTCTGCTGGGATAGAGTCGCCTGATTCCAGATGGAGGACATCGCCAACCATTACATCAAAAACCGAAATCAGTACCGATTTACCAGACCGAATAGCTTTCACCTGCCGGTCCTCCTTTTTCTCGTTGAGTGCCACAAACTGTTTTTCTCTTCTGTAGTCGTTCAAGCCAGTCACAAGCACCACTATTACAACCGCGACCTCGATCGCCAAACCTTCGACCCAGTCCAACGATGGACCCTGCCCAGGAGCTGGCGTTTGACCAACGGCTTCGTAAATACCGAGGGCCAGTGAAATGACCGCTGCAATGGTCAGGATAATGAGCACTCGGTCGTTGAAGGCGTCCCAAAACAATTTCCATATACTCAGAGACTTCTTTGTTGGTAGTCGGTTATCCTTGAAAATTCGTATCCGGTCGTGGTATTGGCCTTTGACTTCATGATCCGTCACCATAACATCCTGCGCAATTAATGTCCCCGCGGCCGGGGGCTTTTTCGTCCTTGCACCCCGAGTCGCCTCTTCAAGATTGATTTTTCCTGATATTGACGTCTCATCCACGCTCAAGCCAGCTACCGCATCTGTCCGTAGCCCTCGCTCTAGACCTCTGAGACCTCCCAATGCTCTGTATGCAGCGAGTGACTTTGGGCTGAGAAGTTTGTTCAGTTGACGTGTTGAAAAAGCGAACGGGCTATCAGCCACTTCCAAATCTTTCTCATCGGTCTTATCAGGTCTCAAGGCTTCTTCTGGGCTTAAGTCGTCCCCTTCAAATCTTGAGCGTATTGTCTGAACGTCAGAGTTCTTTCTCGACCTTGCGGTCTCTGTTGTTGAATTAACAGAAGTCGCTCTCGACCTTGCGGTCTCCGCTTCGGAATTGAATGAGTCTGCTCTTGATCGTAACGTGCTACCACCTAAGGAACGTGATGGCGATGGAGGTACTTGGAGGGACAACGATATCTCCGTCGTAGAGTCCTCCGGACTATCATGGTGTAAGGGCTGCGACATGTCAGTGCGGTCGCTGGATGGATTGCCAGAACAACTAACTGTAGTATGTGTAAAGATGGGAGGGACAAGTAATCTATTAGAAGTCATGTTGTACTTTGTAGAAGCATAAAATGAGAACTGTGTCTGTGGACTCGTCTATGTAGCTGAAAGGGAGAGGGTGCTGTGCAACGGCCGCAAAAGCTGAAGGAAGCTGATGAAGGAAGATAAGTCCATGCGGAGTGCGGCGAATGCCTTGTAGATGCAGTGCCCGAGCAAAGGGGATATAGGAAGTGGTCACTGGCCTGGTCCGGCATCCGGTCGCCAAGAAGTAGGCTGTGCAATTGCAATTGCCTCTAAAGGATCGGCACCCCGCAATGCGCAGAATTTTTGTCAGTCCAAGACTCCGAAATGACCATAGCCTTGCTCACAGTTACCATAGGCTCAAACAGCAGAACTTTACGCGCCGAATGTCTCTTGGTCAAGCTGGAAAGGGGCTTTGGACAGGAGCTTCAGCACTGCAGCTGGTTGGAAACATTTGAAACGGTACAACCGCCCATACTAAGAACAGCGCTAATATAAAATCCCTGTCATCTGCAGCGGGTAGAAGTCTAGAAGATCTCTCATTTTCACCAAGGCCCAATCATCCTTCTACCTGCATAATTGCTTTATCTTTGCGAATAATGAATTGAATTGCTTCTTGTATAAGACCTGTCTACAATCAGAGGGTCCAATCTTCAGATGCCATGCAGCAATGTTTTGCATGTCCAAGAGAACTGGCAAGACTTGGAGATCATTCGGCAGTGCGCTTCTCTCGGTGGGGAAGGCACAGGATTTCTACCAGACCTCTGCTCTTCTACCAACACATCTCTTGCGCGGCACCAGGCAGCGAAGATTACTAGAGACAGAGACCTAACACCTGACGACCGACGACATCCCTTGCCTTTCCGGAGAAAACGTAATCATGCTTCCTGAGCCACCATATCTGCCACCGCCGGCTGATCAAAGGCTGATCAAAGGCCGCTATCGGCATCGATTTGTGACCGCAGTCGCTTGGCATTATGGATCTCGAAGGTCCTTTCCGAGAGTCCCTTGTCCGGCTGAGTTGCGCTTTCGATGACATTCCTGAAGATGGCTGTGGCGCCACAGGCCTGTGGCTGTGCCTTTAGGTTTCTCCATAATCCGGCAATAAACGATTCCGGTGCTCCAACATCTTCTGCATCGTCTCTCGTCTCTCGTCTCTCAAAATTGGTCTCTCAAAACTCGTCTCTCAAAATTCTTTGGTCGGACTCGGTTGTTTGCCTTTCAAAGGACTGCGTTGCTGAGAAGTCGAGGTACTACCTTGTTGCGGCGGCTGCTCACGGAAAATACCCGTACTAGTACCGGGACGGGGTAAATGGCTGCTCCTTAGTGTACGCCCCATCGTTGTACATGCTCTCATGGGGAATTCCGCCAGTATGACATTCAATCACAACATACAATACTATCTTCTGCTGCATTCAAAGCGTATTTTCAATATCCATCACCTCCTTCATCTTCTCCGCCAGACTGTCCACCTCTGCACCACCGACCCTCCGCAAAGGCTTCCTCGCATAACCCCCATACCCAAAGAACCTCTGCAGCGCTGCCTTCGTCCCCGGTACCCCTGGCTTCCCCAATAACCAATCTCCTCTACTGACAACTTCTTGCAACTTCATCGCGTCCTCCGTCTTACCCTCCGTCCAAAGATTCCATGCCTCAACCACGATCTTGGGCATCACGTTCGCTGCTCCACTAACAATGCCACTGCCGCCACTGACCCATGTTTGCACGGTGAAATCAGCCATACCTCCGAAAGCCATGAAGCCACTCCCCTTCTTCTTGGGCGTACACGCATCCGTCGCACTTGCGACTCTCGTCAATTTGCCCGTGTTCCCGCACGTAAATTTCGTCCCAACGATGTTCGAATGCTGTGCGACGCGAATAATGAAATCGGAGTCCATATCGATCCCTGCCACTGCACCAGGATAATTGTAAAGTAGGACCGGCACCGGACTCTCGTCTGCAACCGCGTTATAATATTCTTCCAGTTGCCCTTCATTCATTGCAGCCCGATAGTAGCTGGGGGGCACAAGCAGTACGTAATCCGCCCCTGCCTCTGCGCCCTCTCTGCACAATTCTAGAGTACCGCGAACGGATTGCTCCGCCGCTCCGCAGATTACGGGGACGTCTCTGTAGCCAGCTTCGTCGAGTGCTTGCCTCGTCGTGCGAGTCACGGCGGACTTTTCGGATCGAGAAAGGTGGACTGCTTCTCCATTCGAGCCGAGGGTTACGAGGCCAACGAGACCAGCGCGGGCGAGCCGAACGGAGTGCTTGGCTATGGTTGGGAGGTCGAGGTCTTCAGTCGTAGGGTCGAAGAAGGTGAGGGTGGGACAGTATATACCCGGACGGAGGGGCGTGCGCGACTTTGTGGCCATTTCGCGGCTCGATGAGATCGAGATTGGAGCGGGCTGTCAATGACAAACTGTTGAGAGGGGAACAGCTGGGGCATATAAGACTTATATCAGTCCATTCCACACGTATGTGGGGTCCCCGCCGATGGCATCATCCCGCTTGTCGCCATTGACCTCAGGCTAAGTTGCACATCCAACATTCGCGTGGACGTCTTATCTCCGGCATCTCAACGTCCGTTGCCCGTCTCAAGGATGTCGTGACGATAATCATGGCAGACCAAGGGATCTGCGGTTGTCCGAAACGCACAGACATGATGTTAGGGACTTGGTGCTAAGTGTGGGGATTTTTAAGTGGAAGTGAGTCCGCCCCGGCTAAATTCCAAGCGTGCCGGGAGAATATCCCTGAGCGAGGAAGAATTGATAGTTTGCCGAGTATTTGTAATAAAAAGTAATGGGTGTAAGTATATGACGTATCTTCCTACAGATGAGTGTGTGGTTCCCTGAGGTTCTGTGTTTTATGGTCCTCTGTAAAGTAAATTGGGAAGCTTTTGTGAAACCATCAAAACTCTTTGCTCTGGTAGAAAAGTAGTGCTACTACTTGCAATATCGTTTTCCTCTCACATTTTGTCATCATGGCTCCCCTTAATGTTCTCATGGTAAGCTTGATTCTCTCATACCTCACCTTCGAATACTGAAGCTAGAATCAGGTTGGTACCGGCGAATACACGACGGGTTTCGTAGGCGGCGGCATGTCAGGCTCTGACAAGAAGGTCGGTGTTGTGGGACTGACTCTGTTCGATCTGCGGAGGAGAGGTAAGGTGGGCAAGTTGAGTATGGTAGGAACGTCGGGGCAAAAGTATCCTGCGATTCGCGAACATCTCCAAAAGAACATCGCCGCTGTCTACAACAACCTAGACGTCTCCTTCGATTCCTTCCCCTCAGACACCACAGCTCGTGACACAGACTCCTACAAAACGGCCATCGACGCTCTCTCCCCTGGGGATGCCATCACCATCTTCACCCCCGACACTACCCACTACCCGATCGCTCTGTATGCAATAGAGCGGGGCATCCACGTCTTGATCACCAAACCAGCCGTCAAGCTTCTATCCGAGCACCAACAGCTCCTCCGCGAAGCCCGAAAGCACAACGTTTTCGTCTTCGTCGAACACCACAAGCGCTTCGACCCGGCCTACGCGGACGCCAGAGCACGAGCAAAGACATTGGGCAATTTCAACTACTTTTACAGCTACATGAGCCAACCCAAGTTCCAGTTAGAGACTTTCAAAGCGTGGGCTGGTAAGGAAAGTGATATTTCTTACTACCTGAACTCGCATCATGTGGATATATGCGAGTCGATGGTGCCGGATTACAAGCCAGTCAAGGTGACAGCTAGCGGTTCAAAGGGTACGGCTGAAAACCTGGGCTGCGTGCCTGGGACAGAGGATACTATTTCGTTGCTTGTAGAATGGGTGAAGCGCGATGAGCCGGGAAGGAGAGCCACGGGGGTTTATACGGCGAGTTGGACTGCTCCGCAAAAGGCAGGGGTTCATTCAAACCAGTATTTTCATTGTAAGCCGGACTAGTCCTCTGCCAAATTTGTGGTTGCTGACCTTTGCAGACCTAGCATCCAACGGCGAAATCCGTGTCGACCAAGCCAAACGCGGCTACGACGTGGCTGACGACTCCCAGGGCCAGCTAGTGTGGTATAACCCCTTCTACATGAAATATGCACCTGACGAAGAAGGGAATTTTAATGGACAGACTGGATATGGCTATATCAGTTTTGAGAAATTCGTTGATGCGGTAACCGCGTTCAAGGAGGGGAGAGTGACGCTTGATGAGCTAGATAGGAGGGGGCTACCGACGCTGAAGAACACGATTGCTACGACTGCAATTTTGGAAGCGGGAAGGAGGAGTCTGGATGAGGGGAGGGGGGTGGTGATTTTGGTGGGGGAGGATGGGGTTTGGGATTTGAGGTGATGGAGTTGGTAGTAATTTCTTGAAGTCCGGGCATGCTTCTTGGTGAGCGGATTAGATGGGTGTGAAGGTGTGTTTTGATGTCGCTACCTGGGTCCAGAGATCTATCCGTCAACCGATCTGCGCTGAGTACAAATCGTTCAATTTGCAGCTGCTTGAGCATGGAGTATCAAGCAGGCGAAGACTCACGTCCAGAGTACCACCATATTGCCTATTGCTCGGGCTCGAAGTGCCCCAGAGCCATAAGGTCAAACCCTACGACATCTTCCGAAATTCGTGCTTCCCAAGCCTGGTCACAGTACATGCACCGGGACTAATTTTTAATGTATTACAGAAACTACCATCTCTCAGACCTGGTAGGGTACACATTTCGTGCTGATCACTGGAGTTCTGATGCCATCCGCGTTGTCTCCAAGCCCGCAAACATGGCAAGCGAGCAGTATTCCGTATCCAGTGAATTGGAGCCGCACTAGGGTGGGCAGCTCTAGATCGTGTGATCATAGGCTCAAAGCTGCTTTTGACCTCCTGGATGTCCTTATCAGCGTCTTTGATTTCATCTTCGCTGTTGCTCTTCAGGGTGCAGTGAGCCTGTAAGTTCTGTCTTTGGGAGTCGTCACCAGCTCGGACATGTTTCCTTCAAATTTCAGGGAAAAGCGGTGACAGATACAACAATTGGGCGGAATTGAGGGTTTCGATCAATCAGGGTTGATGTAGAGCGAGCAATACGAGAGCAATGCTGGCCCTTCGAGGCTGACAAGGAAGACATGCTTGAGGAAGTGAAAGAATCCCAGGGAGAACAGTTCAGAGTTACAATCCCAACGGCTCAAGGCCCACTAGTGTGAGGCAAACTTCTTCGAACTGTCTTGACTCAATTTCCAGCCTTGAGACCCAGGTAGACTTGGCGTTTGGGCTATCAAGCCAATATCAGTCTATTTCGCGGTCAATCCCTACGTCAAGAGATAAATAGTGCTGAGCCATCAAAGCCTAGCCTGTAATTCTGGACGATGGTCTTTTTCTCCGAGTGCTGCGTCTGACCGCCTGCCTACCAGAAGGACCCACCCCCAAGCCGGACAGAAAACAGATGCGCATCGTAGCTCCAACATACACGAAAGCGACGTTGCCCCAGTCAATGGCGTTCCACCTGAGCACGTTCCAGTAGATATGCCATCCCACAGCATGGACGCTGTAGAGATGACCGAAGTCTGCGACAAGCAAGCAGATAAGTAGAGTCCGCCAGACCTTCAAATCGGATGATGCGCGTAGGACGAGAGCTTCAATAATGGCAAAACAGAGATACAGGTTCGACAATTGCATGAGAACAATTTGGGTTGAGACGGGTATGCCGTTTTGGGGGCTTGAAGTCGCATGAGTGAGGTCAAGATAGGTTTGCTGTTGCAAGGAAGAGTAGTAGGCGCCGAGGATGGTGGAGAGGGGTTCGATGTAGAGGAAAAAGTACTTGTAGACACCATGCGTCGATGCCGACATCGAGGCAAGTGGTTGTTGAAAATGTGAGCCACGGAATATTTAGGATATCAGGATTGGCTATGTAGGCGTTATTTGGTCCTTTGGTGGTTGTGACATGCTAGTGCTAATGGCGCGTTTGCTAAAGGGCCTGAACATGCCAAGACACATTGTCGTAAGCCCTAGCCCTACTGTCGGAAGACAGCCCTATAGTTGAAAGCCATAAGGTAAACCCTGGGCAATGGCTTTTAAGGGCTCTATTAGGCTCGTGCTCAGATGTGACCCGGTCCCGCTGTCAATCTAAGCGCATTGTCCCGGCAACTTACCCGAATCTTCGGGTGGGGCGGTATCCGTTTTGCCTAAGAGTCTTGACATTTCCAGGACTTTCTACGCCAACCTCCGTACCGTATCAAGGTTTAATGCTCTGCGTGATTCATCAGACGCCAAACATCGGGCGCATCACCGTCTTGTTCTCGGGCAATTTCAGATCCTGGCTGATAGAAGCCGGACAGACAACTATCGGCAGAAGTTTCTTCAAGGCTATCAATGCAAGCTTAAAGATCACTCTACGAAGAGGTCAGGTGGACGTATCTTCTGCATGCAATTTGTCTTCCGAGTCCCAGCAGTAATCTACCCCCGGATCCTCGATAACAAGGTCGTTCTCCAAGGCTTTCTAGAACCAAAAGGTCCGCACCCTGAAAAATATGCAGGTGCGGCCTCGAATGACTCCCCTGGAGCACGGCTAGGAGTCAATATGACAGCCCTGACGTCGAAAGGTGTAGAGTCCTTTTGGCTAAATACCAAGGGAGCTCAGGGAGTCAAGCGCATGAACACGCTCGTAGATCAACTTGATGGCTACCGGCTTGAAGAGATTGAGAAGAGATCGAATAGATTTCTAGGCGCAGCCCCCGGCCGAGGGAGGCCTAGAGACATGTTCACCTGACTTATGATAGGAAATCGAGAGGCCTGGGAGCTATACGGATCTTTTGACTACGACCAACGCCATATTATCCTGTCAAGATACTCGTCATGGCGTTGACAACAGCACGAGCTACTGCTCCTTTGAAGCCCGAGATCAAGTTGTCTCAAGTAACCAGCGAGTATGAAGCTTCCTTATCGCCAGAAAAGAATCATCCTCTGGACAGTCGCCACCAAAATCAACTGCCGTGATAGCGCTTACATGTCAAGTCGATTGTTAGAACGCTCGTCGGAAAAGTCGTCAATTATCGAATTGGTGTATGGCTATTGAGATTTTCAAATTCAGTGAAATTGTTTATAGGGGCTGTGGATACGAACTTCGGGAGCACTGGGAATTTGATTGCAGGGACATTCTGGGGAGAGTGAGGATGACCATTCAGCTGGGTAGCGCTTTAGACACTTCGCAAGATAAGGGTCTTAAGTCAATTAAGTAGTTATGGCCTTGGCGATATTTACAAATTTTCAGTGTTCGGAGAAGCTCTTATTTCTCAAGCTTTCAGCGAACTTGGTAATTACTGCATTAGATACCTAGGTCACGTCCGCGGTGAAGTTTCAATCATTTCGACAGGGAAACGCCTTCTCAAGCTGTGCTTGGCACTTTAACAGCCTTGAAGGATCGCAGCCGTACAATATGATGTTATGACCGCGAGAAGCTGAGCTCTTGCGCAATGCCAAAGCCTATAACGTCGCTGGCCCCGATAACAATGACCCATAGCGAACTACCATGCCCATAGTGAGTATTGGACTAAGAGAGAGTGTATAAAATGGCGTTTCATACAATTTTCATTGAACAAATAGGCAAAATACCACCAATGCAAAGAAAAGGCAAGCTGGCGGCTTCGAAACCCGTTCTCGCTTGATTAAGGGCTTTTAGAAATTCGCTAATTCCGTGTCAAAATTTAATATATATATTGAAATAAGTCGAATTTTTCATTGCGCTCATGGCCAAATGGTAAGGCGCGTGACTAGTAATCACGGTAAGTCAATTGCAAACCGATAGATAAATCCTACTGACTAATCCATTCTTAGAGATTCTAGGTTCGATTCCTAGTGGGCGCAAATTTTTGCACTTTTTGTTCTTTCAATGCTGACTTGGGATTTTGTTAAACTACTCCCGAAGTGTGATTTGTTGTGTAACCCACAGGTGTGTTGACCAAAATGTGAGACTTGCTTAGTCAACTTGGAGTGGGATGACAGAATTTCTCTAAAGTTACTGCTTCTTTTTATCCTATTTTCTCAACCTTCTTGTGGTAGATGATAGTATATAAAAGAATCTTAGGTTCGTTTTAGTCTTCAACAGCCTGTCATATATACCTCATCTACGGTCTCAAGGCATATGGTCACATTAAAAGTATCTACATCAGGAAAGCTGTCTCCTTGGCACAGAGGCGGTCCCTACGAGTAACGACGACAGCAAGACCTCCTGCAATTTCGTTATAACTCACCAATCTTGGCCGCAACCAAGCTTCAGCCCGGAGGTAGAAGTGTTGGAGAAGGAGCGCCAACGGCCAAAAGGGACCTGTACCTAGACATGGTGGAGGGAAAGTGATAGTAAATCCCATTGCCGAGCTAAAAGAGCAGAGTGGTGGCGGAGGTGAAGGTCACTAAAGCTCTTTTTCTACGCTTCAACCATTCTACAAGTCTACTCCTAGTATACTTTCACTCTTCTGATGTGCCTAATGCTTTCTAGGAGCCTACTCTTAACACACCCCCACTTCTTCTCATGATCCTACGCACTCTATGAGCCTACTCATGTTGTGATCTCGCACGCTTAAATACCTTATGCTTTCTATGATCCCACGCACCCTATGAGCCTACTCCTGTTATGATCCCACGCGCTTAAAGGCGTTATGCTCTCTATGAGCCTACTCATAACATGCCCCTACTCTTATTCTGACCTCACGTGCTTCATGAGCCTACTCCTGCTATGAGCCTATTCCCTGTTGTAAGCCTACTCCTATTATGAACGCACGCGCTCAAATGCCCTGAGGTCTACTCCGGAGCCTACTCCTGTGTTATTTGCCGACGCGCTCCAAATACCTTGATGCTTTCTACATGCCCGTACTTCTCTTTTGGGCACCCAACCCAAAAAGGTGATAAGACAAGTACCCCCTGCACTGGCACATAGAAAATGTCGATCTACTGTCAGTATTTCACCCCTTCACGCCTCGCACTAGTCGATATTTGGGGTTTCACCCCTTCACCCACTCTACCCCGTTATCACCGGGCGCATAGAAAATGTCGATCTATTTTCAGCATTTCATCCCTTCACTTTGCAAGTCTCTACTTGGATTGTCAACCCTTCACCGCAGACTCCACCCGGAAATTTGTTGAGATTGCCAAACCATGAATCCGTACCACGAGCCAGCTCGAGCTACCCTTCATAGAACAGAGGCTGATCAAACATGTTGGGACTTTCAGGCTCTCCTGTGCAAAGAAATCCATCAATAAAAACATGGTCCTCGGTCTTGGTCCTCGGTCTCCCCGGCGCAAAGAAAATCATCAAAGACGTCATAATCATCGACTATCCCTGTGCCTTCAAACGTATTGTCCTGTGAAAGTTCAGACATGGGGAGGTCCACACCCCATTCAGAGATGGTCGTCGTTTGCGATTGTCCGGTCAAGTTCGATGATGGTGCTGAGGGTCCCTGTGTTCCGGTCTCTAAGATCCCTCCGATAGCTGACTCCGAAGCTATTGCTGGGAGTGGAGATGCTTCTGACTCAACATTGAAGGCATTCATGGCGTCGGCGAAAGCAGCATCCAAATTCATACCAATGTCATAGATCCGGAAAACATTTGAAGGGCAGGGAACGTCGCGGGGACCGACTGTTCGCCTTGGGCGATAGGGTTTCTTTTCGCCAACATCTGGCTTGATCTTCTTCTTCTTGTCATTTGTAATTCCTTCTTCGTGCTTCCGCTTCAACTGATACGCTGATACGGCGGTAAAGAGTACTTGCCATGCGTGTCAACCATGTGGTGATCGAAGCTCTCCTCGTCTCCAATCTCGAGTCTGCAAAGCGGATGTGGACAAGGTATTGGCCATAAAATCCTTTGTAGATGTTTGCTAAGATGCTTCTATAATTTCGTAGGCCACACAAACTGATGAAGCCTTGCCGCGGGTGAGAGTTGGCTGCATCCGATGCAAAACGGACAAAAGCCCGGTAGCACAAGCGTGTAGCGATATTTTTATGTCTCACATCTTATATCAAGGTTAGAGAGATGCCATGCACAGTGTTGCTGCCAATCATCGGAACTCTGGAATCACTCCGAGCATCGGTAACAGAACTGGGCCAATCCTGACATCTCCCGCGTCCTGCATGAGTGGATGTGAGAGCTTCGTCCGATGGGGGGCATACTTTTAGTAGAATCAGCTTTAGATATAGCCTCTTACAAAGGATATGACGCGAGAACATACGTTAAGATTTGCTTTCTGCAATCCAAGACTGGACACTGTCCTTCCACTGTTGTTTCGTTCGGACGATATAAGACCTGCTAATCGGATTGACTGCAGATAGCGATTAGGTCCTGGAGAGCATGTTTCTTCTCTCATCAAAGGACGGAATCAATATTCCTATCATTCCAGCTAAGCGAGCGCGTTCGGGCATAAAGCGCTGTAGGAAATCGAAATTCTTCTGAGCGCTGATCTGTTTTGCACAGTCCAATCCTCCGGTTGATACTGTTCGCTGATACTCGTCTCGAAGCCACTGATTCTGATAATTTTTGAGAGCTTGCCTCCTCAGAATCTTTCGCTCTTTTATAGTCTTCTGATATTCTTTCTGGTCTCCTGGCAAGCGGCTTTCTAGCCTGTTACGAAGAATCCTCATCTTTTGACTTTGCTCATAAGCAGCGGCCTCTTTGGCCGGTAGGTTTTGAGGCAGATTGACATTTCGGTAACGACGAGCACTACTCGGACAATTGATCTGCTCTACGTCAGGAATATCCCCCAAGAACATAGCCTGACCGTCGATAGCGGATATTGTTGAGATGTAATCTTGCCCGAACCTATCATCTGCCAAGTAACTGAGCGCTTGCGTACGCTCCGCAATAGTGATATGTTCTTTTATTGATTTATCAGTAAAGTAAAGAGAAGAAGATCAGATTTGCAAAGGATCACACTTGCTGTCTATGCAGTTGGCAAAGCCACGACGGATGCTATGAACGGTAACAGATTTCGCTTCATATCTGGCGATCCGGATCAACCCCCTAAGTAAACAATACATTGACGTGTCATTCCACGCTTGTGAAATCCCCCCTGTAGAATCTGTCAATTGAAAGACAGGGGTATCCAGGACCGTGGGATTCCCTTGGAAATCGAATTACTTTCTGTTGCCTGGAGGTCGAATCATCCAGAATTGGTCCACAGAGTCGATACCCAGAAGAGCCTCGTCTACGAAAGCGAGAGCTAGGGAAAAGACCACCGGATCACGAAGGAAGCCCTCTTTGTCCTTCATAATTACACGCATACTACGTGCATTGGTAACAGCGAAGCTCAAATAACGCAGCTTTCACCAACCTGTTCTCCATAGGATCGGGGTTCGCTTTGGTAAACCGCTCAGTGAGCTCAAGCATCCATCCAGGAGTTCCGTTCGCTCGCCAATAGACGTGCAATCGGACGTCCTATTCGCACTGTCAGCCGTAGATCAGTAAGCTATCCCGTATCACTAACCTTGTATGTTGAACACTTCCCAGTGCCCTTGTGGAAGTATCCTTCGATGAAAGTGCTAGCCCGAGCACCGGTGTACGCGTGCAGCAAGAGAAACCATGTGAGTTGAGCTCGCATCCGGTCATGCTTCACATGGTACTCATTATTACGCCAGAGAGTTCGAGTCGGAATGTCTAGGTCGGTGACTGTCAGGGTCGTATTTTCTCTTCTTGCCTGTTGACGATCCAAACTTTCGAGGGAGTTCTTGGACGATGTGCTACACGGAAAGAGGTATTGTTAGTCGACGGTCTGGCCCTGCCACACACGGCTTAATGCACATACCTTGAGTGGATTCTGTCTTCGTTCTTTATCGAAGTGTGTACGTGTAATTTTCTCGTATGCCGGAACGAGCGATCTGTAGTAACCTTTGATAGTATGTACCGATTGTGTAATCGTACTCTTTCGCTTCCGTTCGACCATAAAGTCTATGAACTCGCCCAATGCTCGCTTTGTGGGAAGGTGCCGGTAACGTCGAAGGCTTTCCTCTTCAGATACCCCCCATATGCCCATGAAGCTATTCATTATCAGTACGGTTGTTGAAGCAGCGGACAAATTTGGGTAGATTCGGGTATTAATTACTCTGTCCATATTTTCAAGACCCGCTCCTGTTTGGGTTGATGATTTATGGCCGGCCCTTTGGACCGGAAGACCAAATCGTCCCCAGAATCCGTGTCAGAATCAGATGACTCCTTGTAATTAGTCGGATACTCTTTCTTTTTGAACGAGCTTGAAATTCTCGGAGAGCTTGGGATGATGGCTTGTACAATTTATTAGTCAGTTGAGGTTCGTAAGTCGTAGAAATCTCAGTTGAGGAGGTTGAAAGATGAACATATGTCCTACCATGAGTGATTTTTTGATATGCACTCCTGCGCTTAAGGGTGAGCTGTGCTCACCCTGAGTCACTACACTCACCATCATAATCACCTTTGAAAGGTGAAGCGGCATGTATAAAGCTAGTCGCGTAAGGTAATACACTGTAAAAGGGTAAGAGTCATTTGTAGACTCTGGCTACTTGGGGTCTAGGGGCGGTCATAGTGTATCTTGGAAGATATAGTCAACAGTGGACATTGGTCTTCCTCGGTGTCACTGTAACAATAATAAAAGGTGATCTAACTTGCGCATTTGCAGTCTGCACTCTGCAGAAGATGATGATGATGTGGAGGCGCAGGTCCTCGGTCATGCATGAAATCTTGGCCACGGATCTAGCCGTCGATCAAAATTTCCCGTACTCTACGGTCTACACCAATAGATAGTACCTAGACAATAATACAATGCGCCGCAGCCCTGCGCTTGAGCGTCCCTCTCGATCTTGCATAATGATTAACGACCATGTTACCCTCTCAACAAAGTCGCAGTTCGGTATATAAATTCTCAATCGCCGAGCGATACTCTATCTTTTCGCTGGAACATTGGCTACTTTGATTGCCCTGGACTTCCGGAGTCGTTCGCTACAGTCTTACACGTAGCGCCCAAAGTCAGACTCAGAGCAACATCCGTATTGATACAGAGTAAGTCCGGACGCATACATAGGCTACCAGGGCCAGCAATGCAATTGCGAAGATTGTCTGACCATCGTCGCAGTTATTGAAACATGATTACGGGGGCGTAAACAAAGGATTGCAAAACAGATCAGTCAAGGCCAGGAAAATGTTCTCCAGAAGAAGAGGAGCGACTTCTTCAGATAAGAAACCAAGAAAAGAGAAGCCTACAGCGGGCGCCCACGAGCTCTTCTTGGAATATGAGGGATTCCTCGCACCATCAAAACCGCCCCCCGGCACGCCTTCAGCGCTTCTACCAACACCTTCTACACCTTTGACATACGGAGAACACAGTGGACACAGACTGAAGCTGTCAGAAGATACATTGAGGTCCTCAACGGCGTCGCATGGGAAACCGCGCAAAAGCTTTTCCGGGTTTGCCGATGCCAACGACGAATTACGATCACGGCCCAAGAGGACTCCATCGCAGCGCACGAAGAGCTTCCTCTCTTTCGGCAAAACGGCGTATGGAGAGCCAAGTCATAACATGCACAATTTCTCGAGACCAGGCCCCAATTATATCGTGGAGAAAGAAGCGCTTGCTCAGTCCAAAACGTCAGGCTGGCTTCGACGCTGCATGAGTACGAGCCTGAAGCATCGCCCTTCTACACCATCTTCGTCAATGACACCACCGCCTCCATATGATGGATCGTTGGTTTTCGAGGACGGTGACTTCACTGCTTTGCCAGCAATGCCAGGCTGTGCTATCGAACTGGAACCATCGAAACCGTCGTTAAACCTCGCCAGCGGAGCAGCGGCACGAGCAGCAGCAGCCGCGCAGAATGAGATCCTGGACTCCATGCGAAACATCACACTGGCAGAACCGCACCTTACAAGAGACTCAGAGAGTGGAGTGGGAATCGAGGTTCGGGATGGCGGAGAGACAATGGCCGAATTCGACTTTGATATTCCGGTCGTTCGTCAAGGTATGGAGACCCGAGGCCATCACAACCCTACTTCGCTAACATCTGGGCAGATCCTCTATCTGCTCTTCCACAGGAACTCGTTGGACATATACTTTCTTATTTGGATGCTAGCTCGTTACTAAATGCAGAGCTGGTCTCGCACGATTGGCACCAGTCAGCTAGCTCTCGCCATGTTTGGAAGGATGTTTTTCATTCAGAATTCCAGGACATATCCCAAAGGAATACGACTATGGCAGGTAGTGGCCTAGGCCCAGGCCTTGGCAAAGTGTTTTCTTGCCAAGAGTGGAAAAGCATGTGGCGAGCTCGAAAGGCACTACAGCAGCGCTGGAATGACGGATACGCGGCTGCTATCTATCTCGAAGGCCATACTGACAGTGTCTACTGCGTCCAATTCGACGAGAATAAGATTCTTACAGGTTCCAGGGACAGGACAATTCGGATCTGGGATGCTCGTACCTATGAGTGCATCAAGGTACTAGGAGTGCCTAGCAGAGGTGCTGGATCCGCAGTACCTCCACTCCCAGCAGATGTGGCAGATCGAGGCCAAAGACCGTTCGCGAAGGTCTTCTCGTCTCAATCCATTGTTGGACCTGAGCGCACCGCTCCTTGGCTCTTCATGTACCACAACGGATCAATCCTGTGCTTGCAATACGATGATAAAATCATGATCACCGGATCATCCGACTGCACCTTGATCATTTGGGACATCAAAGCCGGTTATCGGCCCATGCGACGGCTCAGAGAGCATACAGCCGGCGTTCTCGATGTTTGCTTTGACGAAAAGCACATCGTATCATGCTCGAAAGATGCGACTGTCTGTTTGTGGGATCGCAGCACTGGTGAACTTATGAAGAAATTGAGTGGGCATCGGGGGCCAGTGAACGCAGTGCAATTGAGAGGCAACCTTGTAGTATCTGCAAGCGGTGATGGCATCGCAAAGCTGTGGAACCTAACGTCCGGTCTCTGTATCAAGGAGTTTCCCAGCAAAGACAGAGGTATGGCTTGCGTGGAGTTCAGTCCCGATTCTCGAACCATCCTAGCTGGTGGAAACGATCAGGTCATTTACCAATTCGACACAAGCACTGGCGAGCTGGTTCGCGAAATGAAGGGTCACGAGGGCTTGGTTCGGTCTTTGCATCTCGACAGCGCCAGTGGTAGGGTCGTCAGTGGCAGCTACGATACCAGCGTGAAAGCCTATGACATGCGGAGTGGTGAAATGATCGTCAACTTTACCAAATGGACATCGAGTTGGATACTGAGCGCCAAAGCAGACTACAGGCGCATTATTGCTACCAGTCAAGATAGCCGGGCTGTGATAATGGATTTTGGATATCGGCTTCCTGGCATCGAATCGTTGGAGGCCTAATGCCACCTTAATTTCATGGAAAACTGGCGATTTAACAACGACTGATTTGGGATTGTGCGTCTTGACTGCCATGGTTATTGTACATATTTCCTCATATCCATTGAGCAAGAGACGGTGTGGGTGGCATCTGCTAATGAGTGGGATTTCGCTCGCGAGGTTGCCAGAATTTTAGGCGAGACTTCGTGTATATAGAGTCATCAACGTGATCAGATAGTACCTTATACATTGCAATGATTCGAGCCATTTGTCAACTGGAGATTTGCGGAATATGCTCAAGTCTTAACCAATCAAGGCTGCCAAGATTTCGCCAAACTAGCGCGTTGATTGGTTCGTGCTCAGCGTGATCGACTATTTGGTGACGCTGCTCAAGTAAACACACCTCGAAATTAACCGCCTTGAACACCACGAGTCCCCTTTTCAGTGCAATCTCATTCTCTCTCCCTGAGATCGTCCTCCATCCTTTACTATCCATCAATCGCACACCGTGTGGTTCGTTCAACAACGGACCGCCCAAGATGGGGGAATCAAGGTGCGATCTATGAGTGCAAGGCTTTCCCGGGTTGCAAGACGTCACTGACGGAGGGTTCCTTGCAGACAAGAGCTACTGGCATGGCTGAACAACCTCCTGCAGCTAAATGTCACCAAAGTCGAGCAATGCGGGACAGGGTACGGCACCCAAACATGTGGACGGACTGGGCGGAGAAAGGCAGCCACTGACTCGACTTTTACATCACAGAGCAGCTCTCTGTCAGATTTATGACAGTATCTTCCGTACGCGTGCCCTATCTTTCCAGCGAAGCTTACTTCCGCGCTCACAATGAGGTCTTCAGAGGATCTACCCATGAGCAGAGTCAAATTCAATGTCAACACTGAATATGCCTATCTACAAAATTTCAAAATCCTCCAAAGTACGTACCACCAACGATATCTTACGCCAGCTCAGCTCAGCTTACACTCTTGTCACAAGATGCCTTTACGAAGCACCAAATCGAGCGCCCCGTTCCTGTCGAGTCCCTGGTCAAATGCAAGATGCAAGATAACCTTGAGTTCCTTCAATGGTCAAAGCGCTACTGGGATCAGTACTATCCAGGTGGCGACTACGATGCTCTTGCCCGACGGAAAGGAGCTGGAGGCGCTCCCGCAGCTGCTGCCCCAACACCCGTCTCTTCTCGCACTTCTGGTGCTGGCGTCAGCGCCACCAGCGCTGCTCGACGTGGTACCACCCCAACAACATCAACAACCTCAGCGGCGCGAGGAGCAAGACAGCCAACGGGAGGTGCATCCGCGGCTGTATCAGCGGAAAACACTCAGCTCAAGCAGACGGTCGAGGGGCTGGAGAGGGAACGGGACTTCTATTTTAGTAAACTAAGGGATATCGAGTTGCTGTTACAGCAGGCTGTCGACCAGGATCCTGAGATTGAGAAGGCTGAGGATGGATTGGTCAAGCATATTCAGGCAATTTTGTATTCAACAGAAGTACGCTTTGGGCATTCGTGCTTTCTTCTCTTAGACCAAGCAGCGCTAACTTACATGTTCTGCTACAGGAAGGATTTGAGATACCCGCAGAGGCAGAGGGCGGAGTGGTGGATGATCAGGAGACGTTCTAGAGGAGAGACCAGAACTTCGTGTGCAGAAAAGGTTCGGGACAAATGCCACTCAACGAAATAATGGCCTAGGGTCGACGACTAGCCT